GCGCGGCAGAAACTTAATACCTTCATCTTAAGAAATTGCTAAGAAAAAATTTAGGTCCAAGCTCGTCAACATATTTAGTTGGATCCACTTTCGCTCAAAAATTTAAATCAATGAGTTATAGATCAACTTGGATATATATTAATTGCTCCACATCATACAAATTCTCCGACGTGGAACTTCTCTAACACAGCTCACATGTCTATTCTAACAATCTTCCCCTCATGTGTAAGCTCGGTGTTAGATATGACTCCCCCTTAATTTAGGATTTCTTTGTTGATATATTCACCAGACCGGAATACCAATTCTCCGATGTGAGACTTCTTTAACACAGCTCACATGTGTATTCTAATAATCTCCCCCTCGCGTGTGAGCTCGGTGTGAGGTATGACTCCCCCTTAATTTAGGATTTCTTTGTTGAAATATTCACCAGACCGGAATAAATTGGAGACTCACCAATCAACCATTGGCTCTGATACCATTTGTTGGGAGTGCGCATCAGAAGCCCAATACCTTCACCTGGGGAGATCGCCAAAAAGAAGCTCAAGTCCGAGCCCGTCAATATATCCAGTTGAACTCACATTCACTCAAAAGTTTAAATCAATAAGTTATGAGCCAACTTGAATATATTAACTGCTCCACAATATACTAATTCTCCGATATGAAACTTTTCTAACATAACTCACATGTGTATTCTAACACCATCAATGCACTCCCATAACTCCACCACCTGCACCCCCCTCTCATCCCCACTTCTTCATTTCTTTTTGTTTATTCTTTTTCTTCTTCTCTTGTTTCTTTTTTTTTTTTTTTTTATATCTTCATAGATTTTGTATTTGGTTAAATGTCCTAAATGGTCCTTGACCTTTGGTTTGATGTGCAACGTGGTCTATGAATTTCGAATTTTTTCAATTTAGTCATTGAACTTTAACCTGATGTGCAACGTCGTCTTTGAACTTTTAATTTGTTCAACATAGTTTATGGACTTTTAATACATGTTCAATTTAGTCCCTGGACTGTATAAAAATATTTAATGTGATCCTTGAGTCTCTTGGGGACTTTTATCGAACATGTACTAAAATTTCAGGAACTACATTAAAACACATTAAAATTTTATGGATAACGTTACACATTAGGCTAAAATTTAGGGATCATATTGAATAAATTTAAAGTTCATAGACCACAAAGTTCAAGAACCATTTGTGTCGTTATCTTTTCAAATTTCCGATTAAATAACTGAATCAGAAAGTTTTCGATGCTTGGTGCCTGCTTAAGATGGGATAAATTTTATCATATCCCGTGTCTGGTGCCTGCTCAATATAGGATAAAATCGGATATAAGAGGGATATAGCCTGGATAAAATTATCCCATATTAGAGGTGGGATAAAGGTGGATATGATTTCTCATATTCACATAAAAGTTATTTTTCCCAAATAACAAACTTGTTAAATTAATAATTAAAATAATATTTGAATTTTAATATAAAAATTCAAAATAACAAAAAATAACAACAATTTCGTTTTTATTTATTCCTATTTTTATTTATATATTCGAATTTATTTCAATCTTATGATATAAATTTCATATATACATAAATTTAGTTTTTATATTTACTGCATATTTTAGGTATATTAGTATAATTTACTATTTAATAAAATTTTATTAGAGAACGATGGAAGACGAAAAAAGAAATAAAAAAAGAAAAGAATTAATAAAGAGAGGGAAAGTATTAAAATAAATAAGCAAATAAAAATGAAGTAGGTATGATTGTCGCGAGAAATTTTTATCGTGTCCGTTCATGCAAATTTTAGGTTTATTTACATCGATATGACGTTTATATCAATTAATAGACACGGTAATATATAAAAATATCCGATTTTATTACTGCGATTCACTAAATAATAGATAAGTTACGGTAAATTTTTTAGATTTCATATCTTATTTTATTCAATTTCATAATGGCTAGAAATTCATACGATCAAAACGCATTGAGAATGACCAGAACGCGACAAAAAGGCATTCAGGTGATTCCCTTGGCCAGGCATTTTCGTCAATTCCGGGGAACTTTCGTGGAGCCGAATCTCATTAGCCGTACTTTTTCCTCTCCTCTCCTCCGCGAAGCTGCTGCTACGCAGCTCGCCCGCCGTTTTCTAGGGGGGGCGCGGCACGTGGGTTGAGCCGAAATTACCCAAATGCCCCCCTGGAAGAGTCCAGTCCCGGAAAAGTAAAGCGCGCGCGCGCGAGTTTGACCCGGCGTCGGAAGCCGAGCCGCCATCCGGGCGTCGAAAGTTCCGCCGGGGGGCCGAGCTTCGCGTCCCGCTGACCCGTTCCACGGGCTAATCATTAGACCAACCTCCCGCGTAACAAAGGGCCACCTCGCGAGGGGGAACGCGTTGACCGGCGACCGGGTCCGCCGGTCGTTTCGGGCGCCCGCCTCGTGATGGCCGAAAAGGCGCTTGGGGGAGGGAGGGGGGCACGAGACCCGCTGGTAACCGCCAGCTATCGAACGAAAGCGCTCCCCCCCCCCACAACACACGCACACGCGCTCTCCCGAAACCACGGGTCCCCGCGGCCCGCCACGCGGTTCCCCCGACCCCCACCTTCTTCGAAGGGAGGGCCACGTGTCGGCAAGCGCAGGCCCTCCGCCAGTCACGCGCGGCCACGTTGCGGGTGGGGGGTTGGCGGGGGTCGGCCGTTCGCTGGCAATCGAAGAGAGAGAGAGAGAGAGAGGCTCGAATTGCCGAGACTGCCCTCGGCTGGCAATTTGTTTGAGAGTGGCAACACGGTTTGTATTTGGGAGCGTTTGATGAATATTCCCACTGCTTTAATTTAAAAGCACGCTAATGGTGGCCACATTTAGATTTTTTGTAACTTGAAAATAAAATTTGTTCTTTTCCGAGATATATAATGTTAACAAAATAACGGATAGTGGAGAGAGATATCTGACGTAATTTTAAGAATAACGAACTTTTTAATGACACGATAAGTTCAAAAGGGAGGGAGCGGAAGGCAGCTATTTAAGGATAAATGAGATTTTTCTTATCAATTTTTTTATTTGAATGATAATTAAATGAAAATGAGATTGAAAATTAGTGGAAGATACCAGAGACGAACTCGTGAGCCCGCGAAATGAATCGGAATAATATTTTCCGAATACTACAACCTCGCGAGCCCTGTAAATTCGCCGTATGCATGCAAGTGATCCAAACACAAAATAGTTTGTATACAGTTGATGAGATTCGAACAGGTAGTTGCATTGCAGCTCTAGGACCGAAAATTTCGTTACCCTCGACTGACTGCGCTGACTTTTGGAGCTAATGAATTAAATAATCATTTTCTTATTACACTTATTAAGTCAATATGTAACTATTGAATCATTTACGTCAAAAAAAAATTAACGATATTAAATAAGGTTAATTTTATCAATCGCTAAATCTTTAGATATTCAATCATTTAGTAATGCTATCAATTATGGTCTAATTGAAAAATTGACACTAATTGATGTGCTTTCATCTACAATGAGTAAAACTCACTCTATAGATAAATAAAATTGTGCCAGTAATACCATGACATGACATGGCGCTATAATATTAATATCGTGACAACCATTTATCAAAATATAAAAGGAATTTGCAAAACATATAATGTAGACATTTATTGAATATTCAAATAAGTAACTATCATGATTTGCAATGTATAGCATGTCCTCTGCTACTAGACTCATTTCTTAATCCATGTTTTAAGAGCCGAGTTGTTATACGGGTTAGTTATACATCGAAAATAGGTTATAAATGGGTTTCGAGTGGTAAAACCATAAATAATAGAGCGCTAAATTAGTTCACAGCTTATTTAAACCTAACCCATCTTTAGGACTCCTCTCCCTCACTCGATTTCACACCCCTTTATGCCGTGCTCTCGCTTCAGTTTGGGCATGTATTTTTCTAAATCGGGTTAAATGTGAAAGCGCTCAAGCAACATTGTTCGAGTTTGGTATGTGTTTGGTATGCGCCGGGTCTAATATGAGCTGCCAGATTTGTAATTTGGGTCGTACCATTTTCGACTACGACCTGTCCTGGCATAAACACAGTTAACATTTCCAAAAAAATCGAATCTTTCTTACTAAGCTTGCGCGACAGGAGTCTCAATCAAAGATCCATATAGAAAAGGGGGGGCCGTTTCGGGGGAGGAGGAGGATATCGCCGTTCCGGAAAGGGAGGGCTAACTAACTAGGAAGGTAAGCGAAAGGGAAGGGGGCCTCGCGTCGGTACAGATCAGCAGTTTTCCAACGACAAAGAAGGGAGAAGTACACACACCCTCCAAAGCGGTTATTATCATCGTCGTCATCAACGGAAGGGAGGCGGTCAATATCCTCGCTGCCCGTTGAACCGATCCGAGCCGTGGGAAAATGGACGGTCGGATACCCGTACCGTCGCGTTGTTACGCCGCGCGTGATTATTCCCCCCCCCCCCCCCCCTTCCAGCAACTTTCCTTCTCTCTGACCACAACAGGAATCCAACCCCCCCCCCGTTTACCCCTTCGATAACGCCGTCCACTCCGAATTACCAAAAACGCCCCTGCAGTTCCCCCGATTCCACGGCCGACCCCGCGCGCGGCACCGGGGTCCGCCCAGGGGCCGAACGGTCAATTCCGAAGGAAGGCGAGCGAAACGGGGTTTCCTTTTTTTTTTTTCCTGTGTTTTTTTGTCTGGGGTCGCGAAACGCGTTCTGGCCGGCGAAGCGTTTGGTTGAACCACCTAACAACCACCACTTTTCTTCACGCACTCCCACTCTTTATCTCATGAAATAAATAGATAAATAAATCGATTAAAAAAATAACGCCCTTTCTTTTTTCTTTTTTTATTGAGGAGACTTTTCTCGAGTGAAATGAATCTTCCTCACCAAAAAAAAAAGAAAGGAAACAAAAAATAATTTAATTTTAATTTTTTTTTTTGGCAGCAGAAAAAGCAATTCCATTGCGGAGTATATAAAACTATAAATTATGGCCTCAGCGCTCTTTTTCGGTTTTCCAAAGCCTCCCCTTTTCTCTGCTTTTAGTTTTCCTCCCACTGTTCTCTCCCTCCAATTTTATTTTCCCCCGCCCTTTATTCTAATTTTTTTTTTTCGCCAGTAATACCTCGCCGGCGAACCTCCCTCCCCTCGCCGGAAACCTCCGTCCCTCCGGCGTACGTACCCGCCCTCCGCCCGCGGGGCCGCTCGGTTCCTCCGCCATTGGCGGCGCCTCGGGCTCCCGGCGAATTCCTCGGCTCTCCGTGGTGGGGGGTGGAATGCCCCCTGGATCTCCGCGTCCGCGACGGTGAGCTCGCGTCTGGTGGCGGTTCGCCAGAATGTGGCGTGGCTGAGGCCGTTTGGAGGCCCGTGGTGGATCCGTTGAGGTCGGGATCGTGATCTAGGGTTTGTTTGCTGCGCGTTTGGTCTCGGTTTTTGCTCGTTTGGCTGTTTGTTCGGCGAGGCTCGTGAAGGACGGAGGCCCGCAGGTACCGTCTCCGTGATGAGATGGTAAGTCAATCATCTGTTTTTTTTTTTTGTTTTTTGTGTGGTTTGTTTCTCGTTTTTGTGGTTTGCATTACGAGATTTGTTCCTTCTTCTGGATGAAATTTTACGGGCTTTCGTTCTCCCATTCACGCTCCAGATCCTGGACTGATGCTTTTTTTCAACCGGAAGAAACGAATTTTCTCTTGAATTTCTGCATTTACTGTGGAATTTCTGGAAATTTCCGCTGACGTATTCCATTGCTAGTTAATTGTCTCGTAGCCCGTTTGATCCGTGGAGATATAAATGCGCCTTAGGCATATTTAGTAATTAATAATAATAAACCGCGAAATTGTAATTTCCTTGCGATTTCTGGAAACATGTCATTTTCTGTGAAATACTCTCTTTCTGAGAAAGTACCGTGTTAACCGCAAAAATGCATTTTGAAGATGTGAGTGCGTGATGCGGGTGTGGGTCGTTTGTTGCTCGAACGAGAGATAGAATATGAGTTGAATTTTACTCCTTTTTAGGGAGCCGTCGATGTAGAAAGTACGGCGATCGTTGTTAAGGGCGCATAACAGATGGATTTGACCAGCCCTGTATTTTAGACGGATAATGTTATAAAGATAGCGCAATTACACCTTTCCTGTTGTTTTATGACCAGCCAATTCCGTATCATTCGGCGAAAAAAAAAGTGGTGGTATCGGTCTCATTGATATCGGACGGTCATGCTTGGCTGAGTAGGAGTTTTCTTTTCATCCCCTGCCAATTAGTCTGTATAAACTGACGAATATTCTCTGGAGAAGTGAGTTTTGGGAGGAGTTTGGATTTTGGCTCGTTCGACATGTGAACGCACCTTCAGGGAAAGCGGGTGGGCATTGTTGAGGATTTGACTAGGTATTTAGTCACTGTGTAAGCAATGTGAAACATGCCTTTGGTTATTTGACTGGTTATGAAAACATTTTACGTCGAACTCCATGACTATGCTCTAAATGGCCATTTTAAGCTCGCATTAACTTTTCCTTGGAATTAACTGATGAGTATGCATTACTAGTAGAATTTTTGTGTCGGACATGATTCCTGTGCTACTTTCTTAACAGTACAAATTACATTGGTTTTTTTGTTATATGCTGAAGCTCATAACTTACGGTTAGAATGTGACAATTTTTTTCCCCATTCAATGTTTAGATTTTGATCTTGGTACTTCTGTCCTGTATAAAGCGGTGTGTGATTGGTCATCTCCTAACTATTCGATTGCACTTTCCTAGTTATTCTAGTTAGCATGGTGTTTTGATTCTCTGAATTGTTGCCTTTTTACTCTAACGGGTGCCAATAGATTGATTTTTTGAGCTTGGTTTTGATTTTCCAATTCGTTCGGTTTCTTCATGTACACTTACCTTTTCTTAATGCAGGTGGAAGGAAGGGTTTGTCTGTCTAGAGAAATTTCTAATGCTTTGGAGTTCCTGAAGCGTAAAAGGCTTCAGAGAATGAAAACTGAAAGTGTCATGGAGACTGATGGTCTGGTTAATGTAATAAATAGAAGTGGAGGAGATGCATTGAGAGCTTCAGCTTCGTGTGGTGTGAGAATACATGGTAATCCTGATTCACTTCATCCATCACACGGGGCTTCAACTGGGAAGGATGTCTTCCCAAAGCGGAAGGTAGAAAAGTTCTCTATGAATGATTTTCAATGGACCAACCAAATTCCAGAGTGTCCTGTTTACTATCCATCAAAGGATGAGTTTGAGGATCCTCTAGTTTACTTGCAAAAGATAGCTCCAGAGGCTTCAAGATATGGTAAATTGCTTGGACAACTTGGACTTCTTCTGAATTTTTCAAATTGGGTTTTTTTGCAATGTAGTTGTTCATGGAAGGGCACATTCCATCTACCTCATTACTGCATAGGTTTCAAATAATCAGAACGTAAACATATGAACGGACAATTTTTATGAAAAATCCTGTTGCGTGTTTGTAAAGATAACATGATTGAAGTGAGATGGTAACACAATTCAGCTTGCATTCCATGTGTGTAGTTATGGGTAGCTTGTTTCCATCATGAAGAAATGGCTCGTTGAACCTGATATATATTTGTCAAGTTGCGTGCAGAATGTATTGGGAATGTGAGTATTGCCAAATGTGTCGTGTGCTCGATATTTGTCTTATGCTTATCCAAAGATACCGAGACTTGAAACCCTTGTGACCTTTTTTGAGATCTCCTTGGAAGCAATAAATATTAAGGTGTGCAACTTAATAGTGTGATGGATGTACTTTATTTGTGTCGAGCGGTAACGTAGAAATTATGTTGTCACAAGCTGCTTGAACATGGAAGTTGTGGTGCCATATCGTTTGATATTTAAAGTCCTTTGTAACCCTGTTTTCTTTGCTAACAATTTTGGAATTCGTATTCTTTTGTTTTCTTACCACATCTGTGCTAATCTGTCAGGTATATGCAAAATTATTTGTCCTTTAAATGCTTCTGTCCCTGCTGGGGTTGTATTGACGAGGGAGAAAGCAGCATTCAAATTCACGACTAGAGTACAACCTCTTCGTTTGGCTGAGTGGGATTCTGATGACAGGGTCACCTTTTTCATGAGTGGAAGGTGATTTTTCTTGTAATGCTGAACAATGTTTACCTGATTGTCCCTCTGTCCGTGACTCTCTCTGCTGATGAGTACATATTTGCATTCCAGGAATTATTCTTTTCGGGAATTTGAGAAGATGGCAAACAAGGTTTTTTCTCGAAGATATCAAAGTGTTGGATGTCTTCCAGCCACATACATGGAAAAGGAATTTTGGCAAGAAATCGCTTGTGGAAAGACGGAAACTGTTGAATATGCTTGTGATGTTGATGGTAGTGCCTTCTCATCTTCTGACACCGATCCACTCGGAAGTAGTAAATGGAACTTGAAGGTGAGGATCTAATTTTTACTTGCTATCTCCTCATGTTTTTCTTTAATCCTTAATGCGGTGTTTTCTATTTAAAGCATATTCAGTGATGTTTGATAATTCCGGCTGGCGAGCCAGAAGTTATCATGTATATTGCAAGTCATCATACTCTTCTATCTATATTCCGACCCAGGATAATAAGCTCATGAGCTTGGTCGGACACTTTGCTTGCTTCTAGGCTTGGCCTATCTAGTTTTCCTCATAACTTTATTTCTGTTTTGACTTCAGAATCTCTCACGCCTGCCCAAGTCTGTTTTACGTCTGCTAGAAACTGCAATTCCGGTACCAATTTAACTTACCTTCTTCTGTCATCCTTATGTCTATTACCCTCTGGTCCTTATGCATAGTGATTATTCCAGGGAGTGACTGATCCCATGCTTTATATCGGAATGCTCTTTAGTATGTTTGCGTGGCACGTGGAAGATCACTACTTGTACAGGTATAAATAAAGGTTAATGCTCCAGCACTTTTAAATAACTTTTTCCTTAGATTCCGAGTATCTTCTTTTAATTTTTAGCCTTTCTACTGAGTATCTTCTTCACCTTTTGCTTGCAGTATCAATTATCACCATTGTGGAGCTTTTAAAACTTGGTATGGAGTTCCCGGTCATGCAGCTTTGGATTTCGAAAACGTAGTTAGGGAGCATGTTTATACCACTGATATTCTATCTGCCAATGGTGAGGATGGAGCTTTTGACTTACTTTTGGGAAAAACAACTCTATTTCCCCCAAATATTTTGTTAAAACACGACGTCCCAGTCTTCAAAGCAGTTCAGAAGCCTGGGGAGTTTGTTGTAACGTTCCCACGAGCATATCATGCAGGATTTAGCCATGGTAAGATTATGTAATAACTTTGCTTGATTTGATGCATAATTAGACAGTTGCGTCCCTGGCTCTCTCTCATGCACATGCGCATGCATGCACACATGGAAGTGCTCGTGCATGTGCATGTTTGCACGTACGTATTTGATGTGTACATCGAGCAGAGAAAAAGAACTCCCCGCTCAAACTTGTATGAGTTTTTTTTCCTTTTATTTTGCAAGTTTTACTAATAGGTCTCCAACTATTTAGGTTTCAATTGTGGCGAGGCAGTGAACTTTGCACTTGGTGATTGGTTTCCTCTTGGAGCCATAGCTAGCAAGCGCTATGCACTTCTAAACAGGGTTCCCTTGCTACCTCATGAAGAGCTCCTCTGTAGAGAAGCAATGCTTCTCAATGCAAGCCCAGAACTAGACTACTCATCTGCAGACTTGGCGTCCCACCGTAGTATACAGATTTCTTTTGTGAAGCTGATGCGCTTTCAGCATCGTGTTCGCTGGTGTCTAATGAAATCAAGGGCATGCGCTGGTGTATGCCAAGTTTCACATGGAACGGTTGTCTGTAGTCTATGCAAGCGCGACTGTTATGTAGCATATCTCAACTGTGCCTGTCATTCCCAACTCATTTGCCTACGTCATGGTACTCTTTGCTTCTACATCATTGCTTTTGGCTGACGACTTCCTCTTTCTTGTTTTCTGATTATTAATGGCTTATTGCAATTGTCAATGACTTCTTCAGATATTGAATCACTAAAATCTCCATGTGGAAGCAATTATACACTCTTCGTGAGGGATCACATATTAAAACTGGAGGCAGCAGCCAAGAAGTTTGAGCAGGACGAGCAGATATTGGAGGATATCCGTCGGGATAAAGGCAGCGATAAGGAATTGTTTTCTATTCCAAATATATTCAGTGACAGTTATGAGGATAGATACTTCCCTTATTGTGGCATTCATCCACTTCCTCTAGACACTCATAATGAGTCACCAGAGTTGGACGGTATTGAGAGAGAACCCAAACTTATCAATGGAAGAAGAGATTTGGAACCCGAAATGCATCAACCATACCTCTCCTCAGTTCATCCGACTCATTCAAATTGTATGCTGGCTCAAAGCTCATTAATTATTGATGATGTAAGATTCAGATATTAATTCCCGCCTTTTTTAATCTCGCATAATGTATAGTTTAGGAAGTCACAGATAAGCTTGCTTTGTGACTGCTGGTGGTACAACATGATTTTTTAACTATATTTAGGTGTCAGCTCTCTGATCTTTAGTCTGGTAATATCTTTGTGCAGAATGCGGGGGATCATGTTTTTGAGACGCCAATTATTAACTCTGACAAACTTTCTGAAAATCTGTCTCGCAATGCATATGAATCATCCGTCTCCTCTTTGTCATATGATGATTGCACGAGTGCCCATCAGGATAGACTCCATGATTCAGCGAGGAGGTCTGGTCAATATAGTGATGACTCTGATACAGAGATATTCAGGGTTAAGCGACGCTCGTCTGTGAAAGTGGAGAAGAGGAGTAGGCATGATTCCTTGCCCTCGCAGCATTCTGGACACCAGGTGTAGTTTCAGTCTCTAGTGCCACATTTTGTTGAAATTTTTTCCTGTTGTTTGTTGTCGTGTTGTTTTTACTGTCTTCAAGTTAGAATGTAAGAGTGGTTTTTTGACTGTTGAAAGTAAGGATAGGTCTTGATACATTTTATTTGGTTGATTAGTTTGCCTCAAATTGTGATAATTCATTAGTTGAGTGTAGCTTAGAAATAAACATTAGCCATACTAATCAGGAGATCAGTATTGAAGTTCTTGTGGAGCAACTGCTTGCCTTCAAGCTTTTTGGGGGTTTAGATGCTTTCTTTTAGAGCAACTTTTTGGTTTACATTTAATTTCTATCTAGATTGCTGGTATGTTCTATGTCCAACCTTCGAGTTTTAGTGAATAATGCTGGACATCAACATCTAACATTGAAATTTGCCTTCTGGCTTGTGCATGTAAATGCAGGGATTGAAGCGATTGAGAAAACAACAATCTGATCGTGGGCAGTTGATGCAGTCACATTGTCACAGGTCTGATGGAACAAGATATGGCGTTGGTGCATCTGCTCATCAAAGGGAAACTCCAGGAACCAGTTCCAGGGACAGGTTTGCTAAAGGATCTTCTGTAATATCTATTAAGTTTAAGAAATTGTCTAATGAGGAAGTCCAGAACAAGGCCGAATGCCAAGCAAAGGATAGGTTCCAATACGAGTTGGGAAAGGCCGTGAGGGAACCTCCCCCTTTAGAGATTGGTCCAAAGCGCCTTAAAGTCAGATGCCCATCGTCGTCAGGGTCAGAGCGAAGGTTGGATTAAAGTTTAGGTTTGGACTCAGAAAAGTTTAGGTCTTTGTAAAGCAAAGGAGAAATTTGGTCTTGCCTTACTCTGCAGCACATTCTAGAGCCTGAATCCGCTAACATTTATTTCTCCAATGGGGTTCTAACGACACGGAAGAAGATTGATTTGGGAGCAGCAAGAACACATTAACCTCAATTAGGATAAAAATTCAAATTCTTTGTGCAAGCCTCGTAAGTGGGAGGCGATGCACCGAATGACGATTCTTGGGTTTCTCGGGCCGGGGGTTGTTTTTGCTTCTTGGGCAGGGGAACCTTCCAGCAAAGCTCAAAGTTGGATTGGCGTTTTAATTTTTAGTTGATGTACATTTTGTTTCTAATCCAGATTTGTTTTTGGGTCGAGGGAAATTGGCCGCGGCCACTGTTCCCTACGATTAACATGCTGCTGCTTCCCCCCTGGTAGGTTCTTTGATTCTTTGTTTAACCTTTTTTATTTTCATGGCAATGGGTCGTTGTATGCTGAACTACATGAATAAGTAGTGAAGAAATGTCTTCTCTTTCTCCTCAATGTGAGATGATTCTCTTATTCTCGGTGCTCTGTCTTTGTATATTTTGCTTCTATAACTGGGGTAGTAGGTAAACTCTTCACCCTGGTGGTGTTTTTCCTTATATATTTTTGGAATAAGTTGTTCCAATCATGGAGAAACTCTAACCACACCGTTAACCAACGATACGATGAAAGCTTGGAGCGCGTCTTTCATATTCTGACTAAAAGAGAAAAGCCCTACTTCAAGCCATAGTGACCCGCTTAAGGCCCTTTTCCTTTCTGGGCCTCTGTCATCAGCTTTTATACGATCGCTCCACCCCACAGAATTCTTACCCAAAAGCCTTCAAGTCAACGGGAGCTTCGTTCTCTCTACTTTGAAAAATCGAGGATATGGCGACTTTCATGAATTGCTTATTCAGTGCTGAATGAATGGTCAGCTAACGTTCAATAACTTTACTGGGCGAAAAGGCCGATACTATGCAGGTTTACACGATCTCTCCAAAAGAGTGCTCAAACATTCTCAAGCTATGTCATGTTTGAGAGTTTATCATAACGAGCAATATGTGCCAACATTCTATTGTGTGCATCTTTGGCTGCAATCAAGCGGAGAGAGAAAGAGAGAGATCTTTTCTTACTTTAATCAGTAGGCGGGACCAGCAATCCAACTGTGAATCTTGACCTTCTTGACACAAGCACCCTATTCTGATGTGATTTCGATTTTCCTGTGCGTGAAAAGTTATTGTAGGGCCGACCCCTCCTCTCCTCCAATAATTCCCCAACCTTTGTGTTCCAAGAAGGGAATAAAAAAGATTAGTGTGGAATTGGAGGAAAAAGCGAAACGAACAAGGGAAATTAGAGAACAAGAGAAAAGGAACAAAAACCAAATCAATCATGTTAATGGGTTCTTGTCAAAATCTGCATCTCTCTCCCTCCCCTTTCCGGCATAATGATCTCTCCGGATTTGTAGGGCACTGACGGGTCACACTTATTCCGAGTCTCCAATGAAAGATCCTGTGTGTTTCTCCTCTTTTTCGTTCTTTGGTTCTTGTCCTTGAAATTAAGGATCTGATTACCCACTTTTAGCTCATGAGAGAGAATATGGAATACATGAAACTGGGCACTTAAACCGCTTTTCAAGTCTTGTTCGTGTGGGTTTCACTTTGGAAGCAATCATCTTTTCTTTGATTTCCAGCGTGTTTGATCACAAGTTCCCAAGCATATTTGTTTCACAAATGGAAAAGGGTCGCCTGACACTTTATTACCCTTTCAAGTTGATCAAAAAGGCTCATTAGATATGGGGGAATATCATTGAAGAGCCCTCCACTAATTATATGCTTCCATCCTTAAGTAACATGCCTTATCCTGTTTAGGTATTAAAAAAAATTGGACAGCTTGCCTCGATCGAGAAGCTTCTGTTTTTGCACTCATGTCATCCAGTCATCTCAATTTTGTTCTTTTTGATTAAGAGAACTTAGCTTCCCGCTCTAAGTTGTTTGCTAGGACGTATAATTAACATAAAGTATCGTGGCTCTATTTCCTCATCAGTCAAGCTCGATCGGTTGACATGGTGTCGAAACACACGTTATCAGGCTGAATTCCAACGTCTCCCCTCCCACATTTTGTTCTATTCAGATATAATGTCTCCAAATATACTAGAGGGAGAGTGTCGAGAGATGCTATTCACGTGGAACTAACGGATGTTTAACATAATCGACAGACTCTTCACCGAGCATCTCATGTTATCGAGTAGATATTACTCGACATGGTAGTTAACTCTGTATCTGATCGAGTTTTCAGGCGTCTACGAGCTTGAAAATTGTTGAATCAACAAGTCATTTGTTTTCCTTTGAAGCCTGCATATCGAAGAATATATTTGGGGATTCTGGACAATCAACTTTAGACCACCTCATTTGGTCATTAAAATTTATAACCATATGGCATTCCCGCACCACCTAATTCATTATCTAGGAAGATGCTCTGTTAGTATAAAGCACCTTCTCTACCTATGCCCGCTATCGGCTAATCGCTTCTATACATCGCCTGTGGGAAAACAAAGACCCAGATAGATGCTAAGGATGGGCAAATTAGCATGTTTTTAGATGCTTCCAGGCTAGTTATCATTTATCATGTCGTTGGCATTCTTAGAATACTGTAAATACCAAAACCCTAATTCCGATGTACGAGGAATGTGTCAAATTGTCATAAAAGTCTAGTGTTGGACGGAAGAAAAATTGCCAGGCTTATGCTTCTATAGATGGGGTATAACGATTCAGTACTTATAAAACACATGGACAAACCAACCCCGCACTGTTGGAACATTGACATTATCGGTTATTTTCGTTGCTTCCAATGCTGTCGGTAACCCTAGGAGAACACTATAGGACATTTCTCTCTCTAGCATTTAATACGGCCTTTCACCAAAAAGCCATTATGCTACGAAAACTTCTTGGAAATTGAATTATGCATGCTAAATTGTGTTCGGCATTTCACAGGTTCTTGTTCTTGAGCAATTCTAACTAATAGTAATGCGAAAATCTTTCCTCTCTCCCATGCAGATCCCTATGGCATCATCTAGTTTATCACACAAAGTCAGTAGTAGGCGAAATTCTGAAAAAGACAACCTAGTGGACCCCCAATTTCTTGTGTTTCCAAAGTTACAATAACAACATCCTAAACTTCTCATATATAGCTAACGATGGACAAAATTTTTTTTGCTTGATTGATTGACCCGAATAGAATACCACAAGCTTTCAATATGTGGGTGTTCTCTCTCATATTACTTAATGGAGTCCACTATTTTAAAAAGACGAGTGAGTATGAATCAACATGAATAAGGTACTTGTTTAAATGGTAAGAAAGTTTGCTCTGGTCCGTAGATTTTGGGTTTAGATTTTGTTGAGAGCACTTTGAAAGTAAAATCCTGAACGCAATGTGTCAATACGAGAGAGTGTACCTAAGATTGCCCAAGGAGGTGCACTAATTGAGCTGAGCAAAAGTTGGCCTGACCCCACTTGACTGCTAAACAAAGAAGAAAAAGGTGAGTGAATTGTGTGAGAGATTAAGACGTAGCTGTAGCACTTCAATACTCATACGATGCAACCTTTTCTTGGGCCAGACCACAAGAAGGTAATTCCATCGAATCCCTTAATCTCAACTTGGATGACCTATTTTTATCGGACCTTAGAAATGGGTTAACGTTAATCTGTTGGGGTGTGGTTCATACTTTCATCGACAGAAAAAGATAGGCTTGTATTCATGAATAGCTACTGTGTCGCCTATATGTATAATCTCTTTCTTGTAATTGAGAGTTGTAATTAGAGAGGTGATAGTTATAGCGAAATCCTCTGGTGGATGTAGCCCTAATCTCTACTGGATGTAGCCTTAATTTAAGGATGAACTAGGATTAACCTTGTTTCTCGATTTCTCTTTCTCGCCGTTACTCTCTATATCACTGTGTTTGTGCGTTATAACCTGATACATTGAAAAACTCAATTAGGAGATCATTTACCACCCGATGATTTGGAGACACACAACAAACACAACATTGATATGATAAATGATGGGGAGATGATATTTCCACGATTACAAAATCTTCTTCCACAACCACTTCAAATTTTACATCTTAATGGACAAATTTTTCCTTGAAAGCTTTATTCAAAATCTCCATGAAGATTCTTGAATAATAGAAAGGCAAGAATGTCATCCAAATAGAATAAATATAATCAGAGAATTGGGACTTACCTTTTTTGTTTCTTTTATTTCATTAAGATCTGACCCTGCTTTTCCTTTCCTTCTTACTCTTTCCATATACTGTTAGAAATTTGTCGTCTTTGACTTTGTCTTCTTGTGCTCTTTTTTCATATGTTATTCAATCCTATTCGAAGGTGAAGCTAAAGCCAGAGGTCATCTTTTATTCTAATCTTTTTAGAGTATGAAGATAATAAATAAAATTTGAATGATGATAAAAATAAGTTTAAAGATCATGAACTTGTTTCTTATGTATTTTTCAAAAGAAATTTAGTGTCAAGTTAAGTAGATATTCTAACAGTATCATTTTCATTGTTTTTCTCAATTAAGTGACTTTTTTTTTTTGTAAAATATACGTTATAATCTAGAAATAGTGAATTACTAAGGCAGGAAAAAATTAAGAATTGTAATTGTGCTATGCTTTAGGTTACAATTTTTTTTATGAGAGAATGAATTTCGAAAGAAAGAAATAATAAAGATATCGTATATTACATGTATAACTCATATTTAATTAAAATTCTTTTTTGTAATCTCAAAGTTACAATTATTTATTCATATTGATGTTATTACCTTAACTTTCTTAAAGGTAAACAACGCTACAGTCTTCAGTTTCTTTTAAATTTAATAAATAAATTATTCAAATAAACTATAAACATTAAACTCATATGAAATAGCTAGAATGAATTCTGTACCGGATGAAAGAAATAGGTAAGTTCAAGCTTCTTCGTTAATGTATATTCGTCGGAGGTTACATTTGCCTTCCTACTTTTGAAGAATTCACACTTAAAATTCTAAATGAGTTGGTTAAAGGCAAATTGGTCCAAGCAAACTATAGAGTTCCGAAATAGTCACGGAAGAGAATTTTCCAGATACGGGAAATATCATTTGCCTAAACGACGTGCCGAAGTGCATCCGCGAGTGACTATTTAGTATTTACACACGTGGGGTTATTGTTGACGCCCAATAATAGTTCGCCACCTCACTTAAAAATACCAGTTTATGAACTGGTCGAAATGGGACGAGCATTTCGAGACAGAGATGACGGGAGGCTTTTCGCCTTTTCCCATGCTTCGATTTTGGAAGGTGGGTCTAAATAGCACTTAGCATTGCTACCTTCACTGAATCCATGGAACAGACTCGTGAAAGTCATGGTTGCGTGCCGTTCCTTGAAGATGAGCTTTGTTAGTACAGTTTGGTGGGTGCACGACAGGATATTAGGGCAAAAGCTAATCCTCACCAATACTCCTCTAGACGTCGGCTAAGAGAGCTAGGAAAAGCCTTTTGTCCTTGCCTTCCCATCGAGCACAAGGACTTTTCATTCTGCTTTCGGGAAAAATAGCAAGATACGTAAATGAGATTGATAAATCCAATCGCAGTACAAGAAACATGTGAGGTCCATATCACATGTCAACTTCTTTGATGCTGTTAAATGAAGACTACATTGTTTGAACCATGTTAAGTCATCGTACGGAACAAAGTTTACGCGCTTTGACATGGTGCGGCGACATTATTGTTTCCTTTGACTTTTTGTAAGTTTCTCCCTCCCTTCTTTGCCTCATGCAATTCGAGCAATACCATTACTCCAAAACAAAACAGTTTAGCTCTCAAGCGTTTGGCTCAATTAGTTGGGGTGTTGGGAAATTTCTAGCTCAAGGGCTGAATGCCGGCCGTTCAAATTCCGTCAATTGCATGCAAATTGCTCTGGTCAAGGCACCTTGCAATAGGCCCGAGACTTAGACTTAATTGGTTCGTGGGCTTGTGGGGTGTTCCGCGAACTTTCAACTATTCAAGTTTCCGCGTTCCTGCCTCTTTTGAGTTATCCAAAGTGGAGGTACCAAAGTGAATCATGAGCCTTTGACAGACATAAGCACCAAACCGTTGATGAGTGATGACAAAATTTTGGGAACACTAACTCACTGAGTCATCTGACCTCCCTCCATGCAAGCCAAAAGAGCATGTGGATTAGCTCCTTTTCACTTTTTTAAAAATTTTTTTTTTTGCTTCTTCTTGAGTCCATTTGCCCAAAAAAATGGGCTCCCTTCACTTTAGGGCTGCTCGATTTTGCAATTTGTGGAACAATAATCCAAGAAGTGTGTCAGTGAAGTGGGCATGTCATCTTACGATGAGATGACTTGTGCATAGTGACCGAGACCCCTTTCTGGATCCCCTATTCTTATACTTTCAGAGTAAGTTGCTATGCATAATTGATTTTCTTACCAAAAGTATAGTTAATCACAACATGCTTTTCGACCTCTTTAATTATATGGGAAGTTCACTATGGGTGACCCGAATGAGAATATAATCCATCGAATCACAAAGATGGACCATGTACTATAGATTCCACTATTATATAAAGAGATTTCAACCTCTTATGAGAAGGAGTGAAAATTATGATAATATGGAAAGTATATCATTCAATCACTACTATGTTACGAAAAAAAGGAGGGACTCTATTCATAATTTTGAGTCTCAAACTTTGGTCTAACAAACTCAACAAGACTCCTATAGGCTACACATGAACAAGTTATATATCAAAATAAAAATGATATGTTGTATTTCTATTTCCTTTTTTTATGTGAAGATACATAACTCCAACAATATGGTGCTAGCTTCAAAAAATTGCAGGGTTCATTCCAATGTATTTTGTGAAATTGCAAAGAGACCTTGTTGGAATATATATGTTGAATCCATCAAATTGGTGAAAGGGCTATCTTATCTTGTAATCTGGATAAAACTTCCTCCAATCACTTTTCTGATTGATTATTTTTTCTGATAGATGATTTACAAGTTGTAAACATCACTCGTATGTAAAACCATATATATGTGTGTGTGGATGGTTATAACCCACAAATCAGATGGGGCTAGAGGCCATAATGAAATATGACTACATGAGTTTAGTATGCATTTTTGCCCAATCGAAGTGGACTACCAAAAATCTACTTGAAAGGTACAATTTCATGTATTTTGGGAGGATGATGTTGTCATTGATGCTTTCGAAGCCAACAAGGGGTGAGGCAAAAAAAAAAAAAACAAAACACACATTTGATAACAATTAGCTATTCAACTTGATTGGTTAATTTGTGTAAAAGTTCACTTAACCACTTATGTTTATAGAAAATTACCCAATATTCTCAATGCATGGTTGAAAATTGAAGTAATACATGAGAGATATAGAATTGGAGTGCAGGATGTTGAGCGGAACTGACTGTGAATTTGTGATGGCATGGTGAACTAGCGACAGTGGCAATGGTATTGGTAGTGATGGCAACGGTGGTTGAGGTAATGGTGAAGTGGTTCCCGTGTTTTGCAACTGGAGTGATGGCGAAAGAAGGCGGTGGCAGCCGTGGTGCTGCATATGGTTGTGGCAGTGGACATGGTGGTAATGGCGGCCTTCGGCTAGCTAATAATACATTTTTTTTCTGATGGTGATAGTATTCTTAAGGAGACGATGGTGATCATATACATATATATATCGGTGGCGATAGTGATGGCAATGTTGGTGGTAAAGATATCTCAAAATCTAATTTTTAATACATTAGTGTACGCAAAATTCAACACTAAGAGTTTAAGAATTTTTTTTCCCAGTTGTATCAAATAGACTAAAAGACGAATTGGTAACACAAAAAAACATGAAAAAGAACAATTAAGGAGTGAGAGAGATAGTATATGGGATAATTATCTGAAAAGTCCTAAATCTACTGTACGGTAGCCAATTTAATTCTAAACTTTTTAATTGTGCCAATTTAGTCATAAACTTTTTGACGATTTGTCAATTTAGTCCTAAACCTTTATTTGTATCAATTTAGTCCTAAATTTTTGAAGATTTGCCAATTTAGTCCTGAACCTATTATTTGGGTATTTTGGCTGGAAGTATTACATTGGCAAATCGTTAAAATGTTTAGAACTAAATTGACAAATCATCAAAAGGTTTAGGATTAAATTGACACAATTGAAAGGTTTAAGACTAAATGGGCAAATGGTTAAAAGATTTATGACTAAATTTGTACAATTGAAAGGTTTATGATTAAATTGGTTTCCATACACCCACATAAGGACCAATCCATGGTTTTCCAATTTCAAAGAATTAGAGAGCTTTTACCACAAACGCAAGTTGGAGCTGTTGAGGAGCAAATGCAACACTAAGGCTATATTTGCTTCGCGAAAAATGAATGATTTGAAAAGTATTTTCCTAAAACCGATCGCTTGTATTGCTTAAAATAATAAATCAATGAAAAATATTTTTATTATCGACGATAATTCTTGTCCAAATATATTTGTGGATGATGAAAATATTATTCGTTCATTTATTTTTGCAAGCGATATAAAAAATAATTTTTTTAGTAAATTTTTTTGTAAATCATTTACTTTTCGCGAAACAACGTAGCTTAAAAGGTAATTTGCACTAGGAATTTCCCTTTTCCCCCCAAAGAAAACAAGAGGGAAGGAGTTGAGTAGTGAAAAGCAATCAAACAAAGTCACTTGTTTTTAACTTTTTCTTCCTCAATCTTTTCATCCTTTGCTTAAATACCTCAGTACCATACTCCCACCTCCACACAGCAAAAACCTCCACACAGCAAAAACCTCTCTCTCTCTCTCTCTCTCTCTCTCTCTCTCTCTCTCTCTCTCTCTCTGTCTGCCTGTCTCTCTCTCTTGCCCCCTCAAGTGTCATTTTCTAACACATACTTCACACAAATCATCCAACCCTTCGCTTCATACCTTGTCATTGCTCTTCTCTCTCCCTCTCTCTCCCTCTCAATCGCTCTCATCTCTAATCTCTCTGCAACTTCTCCTCAGATTGATCAAAACACACACCCCCCCCCCCATCTCAACTCCCACAAGGAATTGAACTCGCCCAACATCTTCATCGCGTTCCAATTCAAAGAACCATACTCACAGGTCTGCATCTTTCTCATCCTAGAGCATCGGTAACAACAAAGAGGAAGAGGAAGAGGAAGAGGAAGAGAGAGGAAGGTAATTCCAAAGGACAGACTTTGGGCTCGTTTGGTTCACATGAACATGGAGCTCTTCCCGGCACAGCCTGACTTATCGCTGCAAATAAGCCCTCCCAACAGCAAACCCACCTCGACATGGAGGAGATCGACAGATCAAGAAGAGGCCAACTTGACCTTCTGGAAGAAGGCCTTGGACTCCAGAAGCTCTCTCTCCTCCGTGTCGAGACCCGACGCTCGACCCGAACTCTCTCCGTCGTCGAACACCCGGTTCGCTGGGTCTGGACCCGACGCTTATCCTCTCCTCCAGAGACGAAGCAGCAGCAACCACCTCGTCCATCGTTTTCAAGAAAAGAACCCCAAGCATGTTTATCAGCAGCATCTGCATCATCATCCGCTAGGCCAAGAGGTCGGCACATTGAGACCCATCGGCGGAATTCCACTATACCAGAACACTTCTTTTCCATTTTCTCACCATCAACAACTACAGTCTCTTGATGTTATTGCCAATTCTTCACTCTCTTCCCTGGCTAATAACACCGCCATGAGCTGCTCGAGTCCTAATAGATTCCACTCCCACGGTTTGATGCGGTCGAGGCTCACGTCGAGGTTCCCTGGGGCCAAACGCGGCACGAGGGCTCCTCGGATGCGGTGGACCACCACGCTCCATGCCCGGTTTGTCCGCGCCGTTGAGCTGTTAGGCGGCCATGAAAGTAGGTTAAATTTTCATGCTCTCTGCCTAATTTTTCTCAATTGAAAGGCTAAGTTCCTCATTTTTCGGGTTAATCTACAAAGCAAAGATGATTCTTTCTCATCCGTAAACACTCGAATCCCCGATAATCAACACGCACCATTAGTCTCGTTTCCTTTATAAAAACAAGCCATCCATTTGAGTGATGTCAAATTTCTTATATTGCTCCTGTTCCCATTGGAATTTGCTGCTAGCAACAATTTCAGAGATGTCACGAAAAAGACAAGCGACTACATATATATACTCACTATGTTTCGAATTTTTTTGGTTTCCTTTTTGTTGTGGGGTTTAGGAGCTACACCAAAGTCAGTTCTTGAGTTAATGGATGTGAAAGATCTCACCTTGGCGCATGTGAAATCTCATTTACAGGTAATACTTACTAAAGACACACCCCTTCTTTAATAATTAATTTCCCTCTAATATTTTTGTCTAATTTTTCTCCTCTCTCCTTCTCTTCACGTTTTTCGTTTGTCGCATTGTGGGAGTTAAAATCGCATATTACCCTTGCTTTGACTCGTGTTTGCCCTTTCGAGACATGCACTTGTTTTCAGTTCGTGGAAAGGTTGCTTCTAGCTTCTGAACTTGTTATTTACAGCCCTACATTGTTATGTACTGCAGAGGGAGGTGTTTAATGCATTTATCAAATTCCAATACTCTGCAACCTTTTTTGGCCGCTTCTTTTTCCCCTACATCTAATGGTCCTCCAAGCTCGTGCACAGCTTTTTTCTTTGGAAGAGTGAAACCACCACGTGAGGTAAACGTAAGGAAGAATTTAAGTCTTCCCGAGAGAGAGAGAGAGAGAGAGAGAGAGAGAGAGAGAGAGAGAGAGAGAGAGAGAGAGAGAGAGAGAGAACAGTAGGACAAAGCCGAGTAATTTGTGAAGGTGTTTGTGGAGTCCGCTGTCATAATTTTGTCCGAAACAATCCACCATGCGTATGTGTAATGGATTTTCTTCTTAATTTTCGAAATTAAGTAGTAGTGTTTCTGTGCAAATATTGGCTTGTGGGAACTAGACGTGCTCTAAAAATCCATGCACGAAGCCCGAGAATTGGGTGAGTCATTGCCATCAATGTTTCATCATTTCTCAATTATTTGTTCATCATTTGGATGGTCCTAACCACGGTGGTTCAACCATGGTTAGTCAGTACATGTTCAGTACGTACTGGAGCTTCAAAATCATATGATGTGTAGAACAGATGACTGTGCAGCCTTACTCGACTTGTCCCAGTGACTATATATGGCTTTTGCACTGGTCAAAAAGCAGAAACTATATACATGGCTCTTGCCTCTTTGCAATGAATTTGCCGACGACCTTTTCGGTTTCCCTTTTTTTGGGCCAGTGATTTGGCAATAACCCTTTCGTTCTTTGCATTGATTTAGCTCGATTATGCACCCATGGAGATGAAAATCTTGCGATGGCTGATTCTATTGATATATTGAAGAATAGAACTCATGCATGTTTTATCTACTTCCTGTTGATCCAATATGTCTATAGAATTATTGAAAGAACAACTACGAATACTGAATCTGTATTAGGTTTTTTTAATCATAAGACATAATTACTGCTCTCAAGAGATACTCGTTGACATTTTTGTGAAGAGAATGTGTTGCATTTTGATAATGAACTGTAATTTGTGGAGACAGATGTACAGAACCGTGAAGACGACTGATAAGACAGCTGGTTCTTCAGGTATCGACAGGTTTCTTTATGTATTGATTTTGATTTGAATGGAAGCGGAACTATTGATGAGCCATCTAGGAATCTTTGACATTTTGTAGGACAATCTGAAGTACTTGATAATGCATCATCTGGAGATACCTCAGAAGATTTAGTGTTCGAAATTGGTAACTCAAGAAGGCCCGAGACATCAATTCAACAAGGAGAACCGAATAATCAAGAAAAGGATTACAATGCCCTAAAGTGGAGCAAATCACCAAGGTGAACACTCATTAGGCAAATGGCATCATAATACCTTAATTACTCACTGCTAGGGGCCTCAGTTCCTGCATGACCAGCATTTGAGTCCATTCTAAAGAGAACTAAATAAACCAAAATATTTTGGTATAAATGTGTAATTAACCGGAGTTTCAGAGGATTATTTACAGCATCGGCATGCGATTGTTCCATTTTCTTATCTTTTAAGTAGGCAATAGTTGCATGGATGGAAGAGAATGAGCATCGCATATTTAAGAATTAGGACTTAGACTCAAACAGCAAACAAAAAGAGCAAAACCCATTTATCACTGGTATGTGCTTCAATGTCCAAACCATGAAGACAGGAACTTCAATGATGGCACAATGATATGTTTCTCATCATCATTTGCATGGGACATGGAAATGGAGTAAGATACACCATTAACTCTCCCACCATTCCAAGAAATGATTCCCACTTGACAAGATCTGCCTAAAGAATATAACGAAGACAGCTCTTTCTTTTGGATTTTGTGGGCACTCTCTTATGTAAGGGACACTCATAGGTGGCCCACACACTTGGTAGTCAAAAAGGATTGATCCATGGCTGGACCCATTCGTGGAAATTTGGGAGCTAAAACCATGCCCTAAATATGAACCCATCTGTAGAAAACTTTGGTGCTAGAGTTCATATCCTTGAAGCTTTGTGTCTTTGTGTCGTCATTAGTCAGCCGTTTGATTGGCAATTGGCAATTCGTCTATCACATGGGTGGGTTTCAACTTTAATTCTTCTTTTCTGAATCAAGACAATAATGTCTAAAAAGTGGAGTAGCTCGCAAGAAAGATCTGTTTTCTCAGTGATTCTTGCTTTTCTCTTGCATGGCCTCCACTGATTGGACAGTCTCTCCAGTCTCAACATGTTTGGTTGGTTTCTAGCAGGGAAGCTTGGAAGCAAGGAAAACTACAAGAAGATGATTTCATAAGAAATTGCGCGACATACATTGAGGTACCAAATTTTGGCACTTCCATTCCCTAAATGCCCTCTTTGCATACGAAGTTGCCTTTCTATTGTAATATAATGATATCTTCATCTTTAAGGGGTGACATCTTTGATTCTCTCTCTCTTTCTCTCTTCTTTTTACATTTTTTGCTGACAATCAAGAGTTGCTTCATCACATGAACTTGTCCCCAGGATTTCAAATGCTCTCTGCATTTTTTTTCTTTTGTTGCTGTTCCTCAATAAGTAGTCTTTTATTCCCTGAGACACAGTGTCCTTTTTATTCCTACCACACCTCCCTTTTGCCGATGAAGTTTTGCCTTTTTTTCCCCTCCTGCAGGAAGATGGTAATCCAAAGTGCCCAAGCAATGAGAGAATATCAGATGTGAGCTCATCAAATCTTTCAGGGACAAGCAATAACATGAAGCCCAATCTGGAGTTCACATTGGGAAGATCATCTTCACATTAATTGCTTTTTGCTTTTTTGTTTTTTTCTCTCCTGTGCACTACTCATTTTAAAATCATTATACCTCTTAAGGGGTACTGCTCTGTGTATAGAACCAGGTGCCCGCTCAGAAAATCAGAGAGAAAAAGAAAGGAGAGAGAGAGAGAGAGAGAGAGAGAGAGAGAGAGAGAGAGAGAGAGGGAGAGAGAAGAAAAGTGAAAAGGAGAGAGAGGAAAAGAGAAAAAAAGTGAGGTGAAAAAGAGAGGGAAGGAGACAAACGATGACAGAAAGCAGAAGAAAAGCAAGAAGCGATGGGAAAAGCAAGTCATGTCTTTCTAATTCATCTAGTATGAAACCCTCCTGTGTGAGCATCCGAATCAACGCATCATATTCCTACGTAGATATGAAACCTAATTGGTTTAGTTTGTCTCCCACTAAGAGAGAGAGAGATCTTACCATCAATAATGATGAGCATAGAAAGATCCTTTGTGGTAATTGTAGTATGTTCCTATGGACCATTGTCACACACACGGGAAAAACTTTCCAGGCTAAACTTTTTCACCGTGGATCGAGCAGTCTATTCGACCAATGTGGTGCCCACATATCTGGTATCACTCGATTCGCAGTGAACCAATCCAGGCAAGAATTCGCCCACCATGCTTTGATATATTTCCCATGAATATGAATAAAAGTTAGGCACTGGGAGAGCATTCCTTTGTGGTCTTAGTTTATCACTTGTGTATGGTTGATAAAACAAGTTATTATTATAAATAACATGAACTCATACACTTGCTGTCAAGAAACCCGAAACCAGAGTATGGGTCTTATTGCGTGATCAGCGATTTTTGAAAATCGGCTTAATTTAGACCCTAAAGGAAGAATAAGTAGTCGAAGAAGAACTTTGTGCTTCTGTTATCTAACATTTTGCTTGTACTCAGCATATTCTTTGCAAAATAAGTTTCCATTATCTAAGGAAGTAACTAACTATACAAATAACTTCTCCACTAGTTGTTAATGCAATAGCACCATCTGGTCTTCCATGATACAGTACTACCATATATATGCTAGGACATACTCAATCTCTACAATTGGAGCAACAAAAAGAAAGATGAGAATGGAATGAATCACATCAAAAGAAAAACAAGGAAAAGAGCAAAATATTATTACCTTTTTCCATTATGCTGATGCTATTTAGGGTTTGCACTTAGGGGCCAAAGAAAGACTAGAGAAATGCTCGAGTACAGGAAGATGAAGATCTTGTGCATTTGAGTAGGTCAAAAGATGGAAGCAACTTTTGCTTTCAGTATTTCTGATTTGGTTTTGGCAAGAGAGGACTCCAATATTAGCTGAATCAGAAGGGTAAAAAAAGCTGTCCCTTTTGAATACTAGTATTCACCCTCCAATATTTCACCTGCATGCTGTGCTTTAACGTAAGCGAATGACGCTGTCCTTTATTACCCACAAAAGAAGAATGCGAATTCCCACTTTGGACTTCAGTCATTTGAACACTTGTCTGAATTATACATTCCGAAGTCGTACTTGTGAAATTACCGAGCATACGATGTTTGACCAGAACTGACACATGATGGCTCCTTTTACAGTAGCGTGTTGACTGTGGCGTGAAGCTTTCACTTGAAACTCGACAATTCTCTCTCTCCACCGTCGGAGCAATTATTCCCAGTTGCCATAACAAAGTCTGTCCAAAGCATATGTATATATGATACCGAGGTTCTTGAATACAGGAAGAAAACCTATTTTATGTGAGTTTTAAGTAGGGTAAAATGGGGGATAACTTATTCTCGAAACACAGGTCAAGTCAATCCTATAAAAAAGTACAGGAATTTTACGAGAAAAACGCTTGCTTCTGGGAACATTTTTCTATATAGATGTGTGGGTGTGCACATCTATATATATTGTATATCTGTTATACATGACGATGGTTGTGCCACGTTTCAGTTAAGGACTTTCTGATGCATGGGTTTTGGTAGCTTTTTGCAATAATTGCTGTCATCATTACTACCACCTCTTCCCATCCTTCCTCAGTTCAGAGAGAGACAACCCTGAGTGAGATTTGGGGATATTGGGGGTTTGACTTTGACCTGCTGTCCAGCTCCATCTACCTTTTCATCAAATTCAATTTCATGCTGCATATATACTAATATTTATATTAAAACTTTATATACTAAATAAATAATGTGGTAAGTGATTTTGATATACCTAATGTTGCTCTCGCTCTGAAATGTCACTTAGCTATTAGATCACGATTGTGACGTACTCGAGACATTTCTATCGTGGCATCAAACTATTGAGATGCACTTGATCGAATTATATATATCGAACATCTACTAACCTTTTCTTTTCATGAACCCTTTTGTCGCCTTAACCCGGTTCAAAATACTCGATTGCGATCCTAGCTTCCACGAGGCACGCACGCAAATGAAAAGATCGAGAACGTTCGTGCTTCAACTTAGCATGAGAATCGAGATCAACGAGAGAACAATCTCAGAGGAGGGTTCTGATGGGATGATGGGCTTCTATATATACATATGTCTCGAGTCATATGTATGGAAATAACTTTCTTTCTAATGACAGTTGCATAATACGCGCTATCTTGATGGATGAGTGTGAATTCAGCCAGATGGAGAACTGCGGAATAAAAAGCATGGTGCGTCAATGCTCTTCCGGTTTTAGAGAGTCACCATCCACGAGGAAAAGGGCTGGAGGATAAGCTCGTACCAAGTCTTGAAACGATGAAACTTCCTTGAAGATCTACAAGGCCCTAACTAAGATCAGAAGACGCCTTCGTTCCTCAGTCGATCGTACACTCCAAGATCGGGTTCGAACGAAAGGAGGAACACGAAGGGGAGTAGAGTTAGGGGGACCTACGAGGTGTGGCCTCTAGCGGTGCGAAGGAGCGGTTTCTTTCAAAACGGGCGCTAGCAGACAATAATCTTGGTCGACAGAGAGAGAGAGAGGGTGGATGCGTACAAAGAGCAATTGAAGTCGCTCACCTACAACGTGATAATCAATGGAAAAAAAGGCGTTTTGCCCCCACGCCATCACTTCAAAAGGGCGCACAGGAACCGGGCCACGAGCTATGACCATGTTCACGGAAGCAAAGCCAGCGAAGGGAGTTAATGAAGACACTTGCTCGTCGCTGTCGTTCCGGGATTGACAAGACATGAGGCCCCGCAGGATTAATGGAGGCCGCGACCGAACACCCTTTCTTAATTTCCAGGATTACACGCTGCTTTGGTGCCGACTGCATATGCTCCAAGAAATGTTAGGTTTGACGTTCGATTTATGTTGAACATGTGCCCTTTCAAAGGCAAGTCACATTGGACATGTCCAGTTCCCCGAACAGACCGAAATGCCCTTACGTTTCGTGTGTATTCACGCGAAAAAGACCTCGTTCTCTCTCTTTCGTTGTGCTCGTGGAGGAGGCTGCCATCTCAGGCGACCTTAGATTGCGATTGGGGAGAGAGAAAGAGAGGGGTCAGCGAGGGACATCGTCGTGGTTGGTGGAGCTGGCCGCTTAACGACCGTGGTTACGGCCGACGGTGGTGGAGCGCCACGCATTTCTCTAATTTAAAAAACTTGTACATCATGTTCCTGCTTTTGACAAGACGGGAGCAGGTAGACTTAATCGACGAGCTTAATCAGGCAAAGCACAACTCGGGAAAACTTGCTGAGACGCTGTACTTTTCTACGGCCAATAACTGATCGTGCACTAATTCCCACTAATCATCTAAAACAGATTCCTAAACTCGAGACTGCAAATACGAAAACAAGGAATGTTTTGTATGGGATCGTGTTCAATCTATGATGGTGTAGTGTTAAATTATTACATGCATAATTCTTATGTCCATAAATAAATGATGGGGTCCAACTTCTAGCTTCATCTTCATATGTAGGGTTAGGTGGGGGTGATAGCGTGGCTACATGGACTATTGCTTGAATAGTTGTTATCATATCTACTAGATGCAATGCTAATGTTGCATCGAAATAATGCAAAGTATAGATATATATACGTTTCTTCGGTCCCTCGGTTATTAGCATAGAGTAGGTTGAATAAGAACTTCCTACCATGAGAGAAAAAAAAGGTTTGAATGAGCTCCACCTATTATTTTTTTTTTGGTCGAAGTAATTATTTCATTCATATCTCAAAATGATACATCAGAGGTTCAAAATAAAGCAAATACCAAATAGCAAAGCAGTACGACAAAGCACAGATTGATGTGATAAGCACACTTTCGTTCCATAAAAACGGATCTGTCGTTGTGACATCAAAACAAAACCGACGGCGATTGATTACCGAATTTTACATTGTCATCGGTGATGAGCGCATACCTTGGAAAAAAATAAGAACGACAAAATTTGTGGATATGCCGTTTCTGCAATCTCTCATGGAGTCATTTTTCGAAAGAATTGGGGGCCAATATCGAATCGCAAGAGGCGATATTTCAATTGTTGACCTATCACATTCGAGTATTACGATTAATAGTATTAAAATTACGACGAAATGTACATTTGCCACCACAACCCATGATAGTTAAAGACCTGTTTCTCAGCGAGTCATCCATAAGAAGGGCCAGCAAGAGTTGTAACAAAAGAATCCAATTAAGCCACACCCATCTTGTGTTAGTGTACAGTTGTTTTGGCTTTAACTCAGAATTGAGGCTGTTGGTTAGGACGCAGGGGATCTCCAGCTCAGGATTAAAAGTCATTCGCTCGAATCCCACAAATCTCGTGTTGCTTTGAGTCGAGGTCACTTGCAAGGGCCAAGAGTTTGGATTTAATCAATTTCATGGAACTGTCGGATGTTTTTTTCAGACATCTAACGGTAAAATTATCAAAAAAGTCCTAATCCTATTATAGTTGTGTCAATTCAGTCATAAACCATTTTTTTTTCCCATTTGAGTTCTGAACCTTTTGCGTTTGCGCCAATTCAGTCCATCCGGCTAATTTTGACTAGAGATTGCCGACATGGACGCCGGCCATCTTATGTGGCGCGACAAGCGTTGGCGTGGACATTTTTAAATTAAAAGTATAATATTTTTCGAATTTTATTTATTTATTTATCCCTTTTTTTTCTTCCCTTCTTCCTTTGGTCGGTGAGGGCGAGCCTCACCGTTGTGGGGCGGGGTTGGCCTCCCCATCAAATGCAGTAGATGAACGAACGATTTTGACAAAGTTCGATGATCAAATCGAAGCAGAATCAAGCAAATTCTACGGTTTTTGTTTTGTGCTTGAGAGTATCGAGCACAATGATTTTTTACAGTTTGATAACAAAAATTCGACGAGCATAGCCATGACGATGAGCCTCCCCCTCGCCAGCCATTAGCGAAGCTCGACCTCACCAGCCTGGCGATGGCGAGCCTCGCCCAATGACGGCAAGGTCGAGGTTCACCATCCCCAGTGGTGGTGAGGTCACCTTTGCCACTGGTTCGCCATTGGCCGGTTGCCGAGGTTTGGCGACTGACTAAAGGAAAAAAAAAAGAAAGGGAAAAAAATTAATAAAAAAATTAAAATATTATTTAAAAATGTCAATGTCAGCGCTGCTGGCGCCATGTAGGACGGCCGGCATTCATGTTAGTAATTTACAACTAAAATTGGCTAGATTTACCGAATTTTCACACACAAAATGTTCAGAAATCGATTGAAATTTTTTATTTATTTAAGATCGAATTGATATAATTATAATAAATTTAGAGTTTTTTTAATTCTCCCTACATCTAACTAGTCAGATTTCCACGTTCCTATCCCTAAATTATCGGAGATTTTTTTTATTTAAAAAAAGGGTTTATTTGGCTAGGGCACTAGTGAAAAAGACTCGTGCCAACATAAAAGGCCAATTTGAGCTGTATAGGCAATAGGCTGTAGGCCTCTCTCTCTCTCTCCACCGCTGTCGATTTTTGGGGAATGTCAAAGAAATTATTTGCCCATCATGACTCTTATCATTCATACCTTGGCCCCACCGTCCTTACACGTGTCCGAATCTCGTCGCGTCGATGTGGGCCGCACACCGGCCGTGTGGCCGTCCGATCTGCAGCGGCAGCATTACATGGAGAGATCAGGAAAAGAAGTGGGGGCTCGCAGTGGAGCCCAGGGCCGAAGTAACTTAAAATTAAAGTCACCCTCGGCTGCTTTGGGTGCACCGAGAGGGACCAACCTTTTATTATTATTATTTTTTTATGTCCTGTCTTCGATTCTCTTCTTTCTGATTTTTGCTCTGCTTTTACAAGAGCACGAGAGTCGAATATCGCACGTGTGGTATTAGCGTCTCTACTCGCCTAATTCCTTTATCAGCATTACTGCATTGCTATTGGCGATGACCAACATTTCACTCTGTAGTGGAGAACGAGTCAAAGGGCAAGAGAGTCAGTCAGGAGCTGCAAGCAAGAAATGATGATGATGATGATGATGATGATTTGGGGCAATCGATTGCTTCATGATTGGCGCTTCTCTTTCTCTCTCTCTCTCTGAAAGAAAGGTTGCACCGTGTGGGGTTTCGCTGTCCATCCGCGTCCTTTTCAAGACAACAGTGTTGTCTCGTGTATCTGTTTCGTTCATCTATTTATTAACGTTTACTTTCGACAAGATTGCTTGTCGATTCCGATTATAAAAAGACAAGCCCAAATCCACCAATTTCATGAGGAAAATCTTTTTGTCAGTCCAGGCCCGTCAAATGCGGCGTGCTCTTTCGCTTCTCATGCTCCCCATTCAATAGAATTTTTCTTGCGTTTTTTAAAACCAGCAATAGCCTTAAATACTCAGATTTTGTGCTTTCACTTGGTCTTTTACCCTCTTCATGATTGTATTGTTCATTCAACACATTTCGGTATTAGGACATGCGAGTATCGGAACAGGGAAGCTTCATCTCTCTTCTGACCAGCGAATACTGTCCAAAAACTCATGGCCAACATGAGATCCAATTCGTGCTCCTCTGTGATGGAGAGAGAGACGAAACGGTCCTTTGCTATTTTCTCGCTCGCTTCTAAACACGGAGCGGGTACGATGAGGCTCGTCTGCTTATGAGGAGGAGCTACGGCGAGTTACTTACGGCAGATTTCACACGGCGCAGAGCTATGGCCGCGTACTGGTAGCACCTGCGAAAGATATGCCATCTTCCCTTGGTTTTGTCCCCTATTAGGATCACAAGACCACTCTTCAGCTGTCAAACAAGGTAAACAGCAACAGGATAGGAAGCATGAGAAAAATACATTGCTACCTCAGCATAGTTCATGAGAAAATCCGGAGTTTAAAACACATTAAATCGGCATGGAGGCGGTAACTCAAAAAGTTGCGGCTCTCCAGTTTCAACGAACACTTTATCCAATCTAACAATCTACTAGTAAGATCTTAGGAAATTTATAAAACTAAGCTATACAAGTTTCCACATGCAAAACCAAGAATATTGCTACCAGAGGAGTAGAGGAAAAGACAAATTCACTTCATGTCGACGCATTCGCAGACCGCAGCACTCGTAATCCCATCGTCAAACATCTTGAAAGGATTGCAAACAGGCCTCCGCACCAAACAAGGACAATCAAAATCCACCAGGGCCTCCTGCTTTCTGGTCCACCTCACCCATCGAAGGACCCTGCAAACAGCCAATGACACAATCAAGTACTCATCGAGCGACGCCACTTCAAAGAAGAGACTAATAAGTGAAAAATAGAATCGGATCTGAAATGAGACCACAAAAGCAAATGACACAGTTAATCAATAGCCTGATGGGACATACTCTCCAATATACATGATATTTCGCCATACTGATGAATTTTCTCAGGTAATTAATGTTAAACAGTCGATAAAAATGGAGTGAAATTTCTAATGTTGTGAGCAGACGTACCTTGCACTGTAGACCAGTTATAGTAGATCTCAATAAATCATCACCAACTATAAGTCTCAACTTCTTGACAAAATCATCCCGCGTAATCTTCCTTGCCTGGTATTAAAAAGAATGTCAGTATAATTTGGCCAAAACAATACCCATAACATCAAAATAACAGAAGACATTGCTACAATTGTGAGCATACCCTGAACAGGTTATAGTGACTTTTCACCAAATCCATATCTTTACAAGTAACTTTGTCAGAAATAGCAGCAAACAGCATAGGAAAAGGCATCCAGGGGGACCTAGGCGTCTTAGGAGCGCTGGAACCTATTGTAGGAGCTTTACCCCGATGTTCCATAATGTCTGAAGGTGGATGGCTACTACTTTCCTGCAATTAACAGGAAGGAAAACAAAAAAATTGTATGCAATTAGAAAATGAAATGACAAAAGAGTCGCATCAGACCAGACATCATAACAGGAAGAGAAGACAATATCGTCATAAGAAAACAGTCATTGTAGAAAAATATCCAAAATGCTTTCATTCACATCTGAACTTCCTGATACCTCTTGTAGTATGATCTATATAATTTTTCTTTACTTTTCCAAATCACATTCAGCTTATGCAAATTCGCGCGTATGTCCTTTCTAACATCTTTAACAGTTAATCAAGGCATCTTAGGATTATACTCAATAATGGTCAACACAAGACGGCCACAAGTTCTCCATAGCCTGTACCATAAGCAGTGCCATGCTACTAAAGCACGAGGCATGAACTCTCCATCACCCCGTCCTATTGGGAAAAGGTATCTAAGTGCTAGCTATACGGGCCATATAATGTGATCGGCCAATCACGTTGTCTGTGTGCAATGCTTGTCATCCTGCGTAGTGCTTAGCGATAACTCATTTTTTATTTGCCTATTGCACCACGTGACACTGCCATCATGTAACAGTCACATGAAATGCCTTCTCGTCCTATTAGTGCTGACTAGAAGTAGCCATCATGCACATAGCAATGTACACTAACTGCCGTGGCAAATGAACAGGTAATTTCTAATATTTAGGTTTCCTTCACACCCAAATAAAGACTTTTAAAAGAATAAAAAAATGAAAGTTCACTATGTCAAATGCATCGCAGTGCATTGCCAATCAACTAGCAAACCATAGTATCCAAAGCAGAAAAAAGTGGCACATAAACAACATCTTTCAAACCCTTACTGAGTCAACTGCAGACGAGTCTGTTTGAGGCTCCTGGAAAGACCTTGTAACTCTCAATGCAGTACGGTTACTCCTAGTTCCAATAAGATCTCCTGCATAGACAACAATATTGGGGCTAAAGTGCAGCTAATACATACAGAAGCACTTAGAAAGACCTGACTAACTGGGTCATCCAATCAGTAGTTGAACTGAAGATCAATCTCCTGAATGAACAAGGCCCACTGAACAATTGACATCAACATATCAAAGGACAAGGCCTCGTTTCTAAAACATCAACTTCAAAACTCTCTTCATCCAAGATAGGTTGAAACTGTGAAGATGATATCCGGACATCAGGATCAACTTCTGATGTTCCATCCGACAGATGACCCATAACATAATTGGCACATTCCACACAATAAGCGTTAGCAAAATAGCTGACCAACGAATTAATAGAAAACTTTTAAGGAATAAGATATCACCTTCAGGTTTCAATGTGACCTTGAAGCTAATAACATATTCTGGATAAATGTGGGTGTTCATGTTCATAGTCCAGACTACATAACGTGTGGGGTTTTGAAGATCATCTACTCCATTATCAAAGCCCTCGCCACTTGGATAACACTGTGTAGATCCAGGATGTACGACCTCCATGTTTCCCATTATTACACGGCAAAGCACCATGTGTCGAACCCCATTTTCGTCAACATCACAATTATTTGCACTGAGAACAAACCAAAAGTTGAAACCTCTATATAGATCAGGAAAATAAACCTAAATGAAATCAACAACGAACAAAAAAGAACGTAAATAACAATTGGAAAGGTGCAGTATAAAGTGTCACGTGTGCACAACTAATTTGTTCTTTTTCCTGTTTTTCTTTCTTTTGTTGGGGCAGACGAGGGAAGAGGGACGGGTTTATGTTGGTTCATGGCATCGACAATGGTTCTTAAAAGGGCACTCGTGAAATTAAATATGTTTTCCTTGTAAGAACTGACTATTACAAAAAAAAATGCCTATCATGGTTAAAGCACAAGGATAATAGCAAAGCCAAGACTTGCATTTTGACTAAAGCTCATCAGGATTTTAAGTTTTAACTTTTCTTTACAGTGTGTTTTCCTCGAGTAAAGAAGTATATAATGTCGCTTGCCGTATAGGAACTTAATCGTGTAATGTTTGCACGAGTATGTAAGCATGTGTCTAGATGCATCCATATCAGCTGCTGCACTTTGATAACGTATTCGCTGCTGATAGCAAAATAAGATATCCACCTGATCTGAATACAGTTTGCAGCTGCAAGCTGCACACCAATGCCATAAGTGGGCTTAGTTATCAGTGCTCCACAATTTCCAAGGCCATATGCCATGAGAGTGGGCAACACCGCATTTGGCACAGCAAGCCAAGCATACTTAATATTTGCTGATCCCCGGCGTTTCTCGGTGATTTCAATTTGCTTCTGGAAAAGGTCTAATCGATCTCGTATTGGTTCACTTGAGCAGCAGTACATATTACGAATGTCCACAACATTAGGGCCCATGCCCGTGAGGAACATCTTCCGCACTGTTTCAGAATCCAGTTTCCCACCATCGAGTTTTATCCTAGAGTCCACTTCTACCTCCACCTGCTTGTTCTCACCGACGGTTTCAACCAATTTCACTTGATGTTTCCTGTCACAGCTATCTTCAACTTCTGTGAACATGCGGTCATTGACTGATTTCTGGATTTGTTTGATGGGAGTGGTCGACTCCCCACTACATTCCTTTAGCTTAAATTGATCTATGCCGCTTATATCAATCTCGAGTTGCAGCTTCAATTCGCAAGACCCATCCCCATGCATAGGCTCTGGTAGATCCAAGCATTTATGTCGACAGCACTCGTTGGCAAAGGTTTCTGGAAAAAAGAAGCTACCAGCTTCATCAATCCAAGCAATAGGTCGCTGTATATTACTTTCCAAGTCTAGTCGAAACATGTGCAAGAAATCTAGCAGAAAATGATCACCACCAAAATTCACCTCGATGGCGGCCTTCTTCTTGCTCAGATCCTCCTTGATCAAGTCAATTAAAGTCTGGGGGAAATCAGTCCAGTCACCATTTTGATAATACATCAAACGTTGCGGAATCCCACTCTTCATGAAATTATAATAGTATCTAGCAATAGATTTTCCAAAAGGAGGCGGACAGCTGGCAGCGCTTTTGAAGCTGTCAATTTTCCTTCGTTTTCCATGCTTATTAGTAGATGATATATCGCAGGAGCACGGAACTTTGCAAGCAACATCAGCAATGCCAACTGCTCGCTTTCGCTTCAATTGGAGCGAGATTCTTTGCTTACCATCACTATCCAATACCTTTCCGATTTCGGCCTGCATTTCTATCTGCTTGTACTAGATCAATCACTATTGACGAGTTCAAATTCGAATGCAAAATAAGCTTGTACGGCAAGTACGACAAATAGCCTGGCTCAGGTGCACCTCAGAGTAAACTGTGCAACTGAAGAATGCAGAAGAGGCCTGGAAAAGTCAAATGAGTCAGAGACTAACTTTTTCTACCAACAACAAAACGATGCCGTATCAGAAAACACTATATATATATATATATATATATATATATATATATATATATATATATATGCAAAGACGAACTCATCTTATTTGGATCTTTCGGAATACATCTGTCGAGCGTCACTTTGGCAGATAAAAATTTAAACCCAGGGAAAGGAAACAAACACTTTGCCGTATATATCACGAGATATAACCCGGCAAGAATATAAATCAAAAGATAAACATACCAAGTGTAGATATCAGAGTTCATTCTGCACATATTCACAGTCTCGATATCCGTAGCGATTATACTATCAGAAGAATTCATCATCCCCTTTGATCGCTGTAACGCCTAGCACAGGACAGCCCCTACAACACCTGCAACCAATAACTTCCATCAACATACCAAACCACAACTCAAATCCCAGCATGCATCCTATTCACATAACCTTACAAAAGTTATACATCAAAGGTACGGACACCAAACGAGAGCTTGAAAAGTCCACAAAATTCATAAAATTTACTCCGAAGGCTGCTAGCTTTCTGCAAAAAAATCTATCGCTTTCTAAATCACTCCAGTTTGTGCAAACAAGATCAGGCGGCCCCAAAAAGGGAAAAATAGATCCAAAAATTTGTCAATCACCCTACTGATGAAAAGGGTTCTCTTCAAAACATGCACAAAACTTCGCAGAACCACCGGATCTACGTCAGATCTTTCCCAAATGCCATCCAAAATTCCAAATAAACCTAAGCAGATGCACAAACCAAATTTAACCACAAGGCACGGATTTCGTTGGGGGGGAAAAGTTACTTACACGAAAATCGTAATACAAAAACAAAGCGAACGGCTCCGATCTGCTCCGATCAGCACGAACCACAAAAAACACAACAAGCGATAATTAATCAAATCGTCAAGCCCATCCGAGATCATTACAACCAACAAAATAAAAACACCAAACAAAAAAAAAAAACCTGCAACCCCGTGAAGATTTTTATCACCAAACCTTTCAATTTCCATGAAAGATCAGCACTAGAGGACAGGCGATCTAGCTTACCAGAAAACAAACAAACGAGATAACCGGCGTTAACCCGAGCGGGATACGCGAACCGCCGTCGGCGAAGGCCGGACGGACGGAGGCCGATCGATCGATCGAAAACCCTAGATCGGGGAGGGCGGCGGACGAGCGAGCGAGCGAGCGGAACAGTAGCAGCAAGGCGGCGCCGTTTAAGCGACGGGCGATGGTGCGATGGCGATGAAGGAGGAGCCAGTGGCTAAACGGCGTGAGCCCGAGCCGGCGTCCTGGCGAGCCATTTTTGATCCCTTCCCCCCTACCCCCCAAAAAAAAAAAAGCGTGTGGGAGGTCGGTCTTCTTTGCGTGAGTTGAAAGCAAAAGAAGACGTCGCTATCCCCAGCCCGAAGTTTTTGAATTATTCTCCACTGCAGGACGGGGGGGGTGGGTTTCGATATCGTTACGCGCACGGCAGGTCGCCCTCCCCTCACCGCTCGCTCCTGATTGGACGGCCCCCCATCGTTGACTTTTCAAAGCGCGCGACCTGTTGGGTTTTGATTGGCGGTTGGGTGGTGTGGTGTGGGGTGAGGTAACGCAGCATTTTCGGGTCACTAATCTGAGTAAATCTCGTCCTGATTAGGATGGCCGAATCGCAATTTTCCATTCCCGTGGGGTCACTTGTGGAAATAAAGAGATTTTCCCAATTTGGGGTGGGGCCCGCTCGGAAAGTTGGGGGGGGGGGGGGCGAAGATAGGATTGCCTTACGTGTCGTCATCAGCGCCTTCCTAATAAAGCTTCTTTTATTTTAAAAAATAAAAAAAATGAAAAAAAAAAATAAAAGCTTCTTTTACACAGAGAGAGAGAAGGAGAGAGCGTGCGTGGGCCCCACGAAGAGAGAGAGGGAGAGTGGGTGGGTGGGGCCCAAAAAATGAAAGCAAAAACAGAGAAACGTATGAAAGCCCAAGAGGGACGAAGAAGCGGTCGGTAAGACGAAAGATGTTGAAAGCCATGATGACAAAGTTGGGGTGAAACCCCATCAACAACGCTCGGCTGACTTTTTTTTGCACATTTGTTGACCGGTAAGGATCTCATGTATCCGGGCCTCAGTAATTTGATTTTGATTATAAGATTGTATCGCCATCACGGGTTTAGCTCTTTCTTCGCCGCCGGCTCGTCCCCCTCGTCGAACTTCCAGAAGCTCGCTCGACTCGAGAAAGGGCCTGGCCGGGTCGGGCCGGGCCGTGAATGGCAACGCGCCCGCGAGTCACGAGACCGAGGGGTTACTTGGGATACCCGGTTGTTGCTCATCCGTGTTGGTTCCGAGCGTGCGAAGACGAATCGCTAATTGAATTATTGAAATATGCTTTTAACTAATAAAGTCGATGTCATCTGCCGCTTTCGCATGATAAAGAAAGTATCGGGTTCCCATCTAGGCAACCCCAGTACTAGAATATTTTGAGACTTTGGCATTGACATATAGCGGGGGGGAGCGGACATAAGATAGTGCCTCCACCAGATAGCACGAAAAAAACGTTAGAGAGAAGACTTGGAACTTTTGGTCGAGTTCCAAACGTCACGAGCAAGGAAATTAACCGGTTCTTCAAAAATCAAAGTCTTCCCAGAGTCATTGAAAAAAAGCTGAGTAGTTTGATTCTTCCTATGGTCTGATTCTAGAGATTAGGGCCCCCCATTGATTAAGAAATTCGGAGAACTTTCTCTAGCGACCATTCGTATCGCCCTGTATGGTTCTTTCTCTGCATGCAGCAGTGGAAGATGAAAAAGCAGGGTGGATATTATGTAGCTGCAAGTATTGTGTCTGGGAAAAATACTTCAGTTCTAAGGAGCTTTTGTTGTGCTCACAAGCCTCCCTCAAATAGTCTTTCCAGCTTCATTTCTCATCAAGCAGTATGCTCCGATTGATGTTATTGCCGTTACCTGTTTTCTTAGCCTTCCCTTCTCGGCTTTTCGGGCGAGTTTCGCTGTGTAACACGAGCAATAGATTAGTTCAGAGATGAATTTCTAAGGACTCATCTACCGGTAGCATGCTTCAGAGACAAAACTACAGAAGTCCAGCTATTTTCTGTGCAAGGGACTGTTCTCAGTCCAATAATGATCTGCAACTGATGTCAATTTTTACTTCATTTGACATGGCCCGCGCACCAACTTTTGCTTGCTAGGGTGATGTGCCGTTTCGATTGGATACAAAAATATGGCGGTACCTGGTCAGTTGTCAAATATCAGATGATGGAATCTGGGAAAAGAAAGATGCATTGGCTTTCTATCATTTCGAGAAGAGATGCATCAACTTTGCTTAAACTTAAAGCTGTCCCTCTTCTTGTTGAAGAACAGCAATTATGGTTCAACAGGGCTCCGAACTGGAATCAATTGAACTGTACGTTTCTCGTTTTTGAGAGATAAACACACCCTAATACGAAAATCATGACCGAAAGAAGTTTCAAAACAGTTAGCTATTTTGTATTGATAACTGGGGCTGCAGAAGATACCAAAAGCTCTTGAATGCTCATTAACTTGATGTCCCTCTGCTAACAATGGATATCTCATGCATGAACGAGCAGATTATCGAGTTCATGACCATCATAACCAAACTTTTACGACGCATTCTGCCGGGGTCAAGAGCTTCAAACACTGGTAATATATAAAAGAACCAACTATGTTTGAACCTTTACCCAACTAACACGCATAGAAAAAAGGCGTCAAGAAAACCTGTGCCTGCATTGTAAATTTTATAGTAAATGAGTACACCAAACCCACCACAGAATGGCCTCCGTATTAGGCGATGCTTTGTCAATGGGACCTGCCTGTACTACATGTGACTTCACACTTTAACTTTTGCTGCAGCTTCCTTAATTTGTTCGATTGTGAAGATTCCAAAAACATCATCATCACTTACAGCATTGATTACCGCTAGCGCTACATCATCAACACTAACGGGTGGAGCCAACAGAATATCAGATGCTGGGAGAGAGCTTAGAGGTTTGGTGAAGTTCTCCACGGCCTGCAAAATTCTCTCCACTGGTTCACCAATAATGTCGAGAGGAATCTCGATACCATCTATCCTCCTTTTCCCGTATATGAAACCCGGTCTCAAGACAACACCTGGAGCGAAGAAAACATTCACATCAGTCCTGTTGCAACTGATAGCCATGATCAAATCAATAATTCTTCCTGAGGACTTTTCTCTAAACTTAGTAAACGACTGTAAACCATTAGCTTGCCCACAGATTTAATGAAAAGTTGCTGCAAGATTCTCCATAGTTGAATTTTATTTGGGGAAATGCATCATTGAAAAAAGGAGCTGTAGCCCAAGATTAGGGCAATGCCTACACATACATGCGGCTTGCTCTTCATTCCAAGGATATTGTTCACCAGACTAGTATGAATAATGTTGACTGGGCTGCTATCAAAGCTTATACTTGATTTTGTCATGGAAAATTTAGTTAGCAATACTCGTCCATCCACATGACAAATATCCCTGTAGAAGACACGTCTCAGATTACCTGCGTTCGGATACTTGGAGAGGACTTCTGATTCGGCTTTCCTCTTTCCGGTGAAGTATCCAGAAGAAAGAAAAAAAGATGGTAAGTTGTAGTCATGCACGGAGATAAGGACGAACTTCGGAACACCTGCAAGGAATAAAAGGAAAGAATATCATGTCGCATTTTATGTTAGAGGACGCGCTGCGGTACATCTAGGGTCCTTATCCATCATATTTCTTTCAGGAAACTAGATCCAGTTCCTAAAGCCAAGACTAGCACGATTAACCAATTAACTAAGTAGCCTCGGCTACAACTTCTCACCAAAATCCTTTGCAGCATTTACAGCAACAACGTTGGCCTCCCCGTTGATCCTCTGCATCTGCTCTTCACTACCAAAACCACCAAGGGTTGAAACCACAGCAGTTGCCCCAACTAAAACTTCATCCCAGTTGGCATAGAAAACATCTCCTACAAGGAGATACATTAAGTAATAATTAATTGAGTGTAAGCTACAGAGCATGTGACATGTCACTCCTCCCTGTGTGCACAAGTGCCATATAGTAAGTGCGCGAGTCTCCTTGGTAACAGCTCCATAGCCACTTAGAGAGCCAATCATCGACATCTAGTAGAAGCCTACACAGTCTATTCCAAGTTATTAGCCTTGGGCGTGCACAGAGTGCAAAAAAGCTCTGCATTGTTGCATCAACTTTGTAGCCAGTAGCAGCCTCAGAACTTGAGCACAGCCTGATTCTCAGAACTTTCAACTGTAATTTGCAGTAAATTTTCAGTTGAAGTATTACTATGTCCATAACATAATTCTGAGAATCAACTAGAAGACAAAAGTTAACATAGTTTCTTTTGGCCAAGAAGCTGAAACAATTGACAACATTTTAAGGAAACATTAGGACTAAAAACTGTAAAACAAAAAACCGGAAGTTTGTAAGATATGAACAATGCACAAGAATTTATGTCTTACTAGATAGACTAATGTGTTGCACAAAGTGGTATAGCTTTCAAATCGTGCTAGCCAAACAACTACAGCATATATCAAGATCTATCAGAAATTTCATTGCGACTTCCAAGATTTCAAGGGAAAAGGATGCAAAGAAATACATTTCCTTTGAAGCAAGGCCCAACAAGAAAAAAACAATGGCATAATCACTCAATAAAGCTAAATTTAAATGAAGAACTGTCCAAGCATTCTGCGACGAGTTACTGATAGGAGTTTGCCTTTACTGTGATAATGCATCTAAAATTCATACTTGAATGAAAGTTCAAACAAAGAAGTCCAAAAGACGTGCCTGAAGCCCATGTAACCTGATCCACCCAAGATCCTGGGTAGGTAGGTCGTCCGGACCTGCAAAGGTAGATATATGTACAGTTCAAACCAGGTTCTATTGGAAAAAATTCAGCTCTACCAATTTAAGACCACAAAATGTCTTGACGGGATAAATGACTCTCAATCCGTCATTGGCTGATTATTCGAATTGGGAACTGACCATCAGCAGATCCGTCTATAGGTTTCCCACTTTTATAGAATAGTTCTCTCACCTGCTCAAGCTAACAACCTCTATCCCCTTGGATACAGCAGCCTTACAAATTGCAGAGCCAACAAATCCGCTGCCTCCGAGGACTACAACCTACCAATAGAAGATTCACCGTGACAATGCCATTGTTATATGCAGGCAACAAGAGCTCAAGCTAATGACTTACGCCATGATGTAGGTGCAAGTCTAACAAGTTCATACCCGTTCAGTCTTCACATCAGCCACAACATCTATCGTAGCAGAATTTGAGTCGTCCCGTACACCAGCTTCTGCATAGCTGCAGTTGACTCTTAACCTGCAAATTCTACGGCCATCGTCAACATATACGTACGGTTACTTCGAGTGTTATCCAAGGAAGAAAATATCTGAGGGAATTTAATATGAGAAATGGAACAAGATGACACAGCAACAAAAGGCATAGCATGATGCATAGCGGAGGTAGACAAGCGGGTCTAGACTCTGGAGGCCGCACCAATTGGTGGCAAAAGTAGATATGGAGAATCATTCTACAGCACAACAAAAGGAAGTGGTCAACAAACAGAGGAAACGACGACGTCTGACCAGAAAAAAAACTGCACGGGCCATTAAAACTCCTTTCCGCAATGCTGTACCAGCTCGACACAGCTTACTGCCTCGGAAAAATTTGTCTTGAAACGTTGCAAACTCGGGACAAGGCACCGCGCCATTTCATAGCGCCGGTAGGAATTACAGCTAGGGATGGTCATAAAACGCTCTCTCGGCCATCCTCTCTCGAGTATCCTTGCTTGCATTCCTCGTTCGAATCGAAACTGTAAATAGGAGAAAAGCGCCCATTGCCTTCCCTATCACAAATTTGATTCGAACAGCACCTCATGCACTCAAAAGAGCTACAGCTCTTAACTGGTCCCCCAAACCCCTTCGAATTGCGTATTTCGGAACAGAGGGGAACAGTCTCTCTCTCTCTCTCTCTCTCTCGATCAAACGTGAAAACTATCATACAATCAATGCAACAAGACCGCGAAATGCTCTGTATCAGTACACCCGATCGCACTGGATAGAGTGCGAGAGCACTGCGCGGAAGATAATACGAGCGAAATTCGAGAGAATTCCGAAGCAAGAGAAAAGGAAAGGTTCGCGTAAACGGGAGAGCTGACCGGGGGGCGGGAACGGAGATGGAGCGAGCTGGAAAGGAAGCGCGGGCGAAGGAGGAGGACGACGGAGGCCTGGAGATGGCGGCTAGCGAAGAGAACGACGTCATTTCTCCTCTGCAACCGGCCGACGCGAGCACTCGACCCCGCCGGTGACGACGATGTCGGACAAGAAGGGAGGACGAGGTTCGGAAATGGCGGAGACTGGTGTCCGAATTTTCGTGGAAATCGAGGGGAAAACGTTCGGCCACTCGGGAGTTGGGGCTTTAGGATTCTCCGACGTTCGGTCGAATTTTTTTTATTTTTTATTTATCAGGGCCGGAACGGGTCTTCAATCCTTTATTTTTCTTAGCGATAATTATAAAAAATAAAATAATTTTCCTGTTCCTGCTTTTTCTTCCCAGGAGTACGTGCTACTCCCATTCTCGGAATAAGAATCTTTAAATTTTTATTTTTCACTACTGAAATTCGCGATCGCGAGAAATACGTGTGACTTTGGAAACGCGTTCGGACTCTATACTACTTTAGATGAACAAGACCTGTTCTCACACGATAAACAAGCAACGGAGAGCTACTTTCGTGAGAACAGGGGCACGAGGTCCCATCTATCTTTCCCGAGCTCCTGATGGCAAGGAAGAAGCAACTATACACCAAACAATCGTACGTCACCAGGAAACAGGCTATGTTCACGTCCGCTTGACGACGATCGCTTGAGTTAGTTGATGATATTCGAGCTATTCCCAAGAGATCGTCGTCGATGGACAGTCAGGGGGGGGGGGGCCTCTCCAACTGGTGCCTCCATGTCCAATGGGCTCATAACTTGTAGGCCCATGAAAAAAGCCATTGGATAATGTAAACATTCGTTATTTATTTTAATTATTTTTTAAGGGTAAAAGCCATAAAAAAAAACTCAAAATTATGTCCGTCGTGACATATTTGCCTCCCAACTTTTTTTTCGTTACCCCAAAAGCTTCAAACTTGTACCCATGTGACATATTCTCTCTAAACTTGTACATGTGTGACACATTTATTCCAAACTTTTTGTGTGACACAAGAAATCCCGGACTTGTATTCATGTCATGCATTTGCCCCAAATTTATTTTTTATGACACCAAATTTTCCCAAACTTACACTCGTGCCATACATTTATCCTCCGTCAAGATTTTTTTTTTCCTTTTTCTTTTTCCCTTCCTCCTTCATCTTCAGTGCCGCCTTCGCCGACACCACCATCCATTGCCATTGTCCTCACCGTTGCCAAACCAGGGAAGAAAACGAAGGAGCAAGTTAAACAAAAAAGGAAACAGAAAACAGGAAAAGAAAAAAGCATATAATGAATTGACATATTTTTGTCGGGTCAAAGACCGTTTGCTTTCCGTCTTCTTAAGGACGACGAGATAATTTATTACTAGATATCTCGAATGGTAAATGAGAACACGAAAAAACATAAGAATCTCAAGGTCTCGAGCGGCCTTAAACGACGAGCGTGCTTTCGCGTTTTGCTCTCTCGACTATATGTAATGCATATACGACTTGGAAGCAACAAGTCCAACGAACGACTTAACAGTTACAACTTCTTCGCCGCGAAAAGAAATCGCGGTGAATGAAGAAGAAGAAGAAGGAAGACGCAATCAATTCAACTCATGCTATACATCTTCATGAACGTCGGTTTTCGGATTTTGGTGACTGGAATATGTAATTGGAGGAACCACGTTTGATTCTGCTTTGTTTTGTTTCTGGAAAAAGTAATGGAGTTACACGCCTAGATCCCTGCAAGGAAAGTGATAGAGACGAATGAAGCTGATGTGGATGTTGTTCTTGTTGTTTCCTTTTTACCCTTTTTGATGTAGTGTTGTTGTGTCAATGCTTGTTAATCAGGGTACAATGAGCTTCGGTCCATCAAGACTAACATAGAACTACAAATTAGGATGGACGTGTACAGACCACTCGAGAATTTCGCCGGAAGCGCCTTTTGCTGTCAAAATTGCAAAGTTAGTCCATGGTTCACTCGACTGTATGCCGAGGAAAGGGTTGTTGGTATTGGTTCCGAAAGAATGTCGAGACTGGACTTTTCGATACGAGCGTGCAAACAACTTCGATAGCCATGGATTTTGGGCACGCACATGCCGAGTTATCCTGTCTTCTCTAAATGGAAGCCAACTGTTTGTGTTGATGTATCTAATGCGCTCCTTGAACTTTTTACACTGATCCTGTGTGGTAGATGAGGGCCTCTTGTTAGGGTCAAGTTGACAGGAATGAATTGAAGGAAATTAAGCTAACCAAGATCAGCAGAATCCGACTACAATGATCACTCAATTAGGGATCATCAGATTAACTTTTTCCTGGGATAGTGATTCATCTTTAATGCCACAAGCTTTTACAGGAAAGGAACAAAGATTTTTCTGGGACAACCATTAAATTATTGCATTGTGAATAAGTTGCAATTCAGTTCACATAACAAGCACGGAAAAGAGGAACGAGGATGCAGTTCAATTGACCGTAGCCAGGACAATTACACCGAGTGAGAACATGGGATTGCCGTTTAGATTCTTTGGATACTACGAATCTTACATTTCAGATTTCCGCCAGCTGGTCTTGTTGGTTTCGAGAAGTGAGTTGATGGAACGAGTTAGATTTAGGGAGATTGTCGCGGTTAGTTCTTAGACTTTCCATTTACGGAGTATCTGTTCATTTCCCGTTTCGCTTGTAGAACACTCCCCACTCCAAGTCTCGCGCGGCTCAAATCCCCTTACCGACTTACTTTGATGTTATATAAACAGGTAGTCTATATGGCCATGGTTGGATCATTCCCTTTCAACTCGTTCCTGTCCGGGGTGCTTTCTTGTTTCAGGACGGCGGTCCTTGCAGGTGAGTAGGGGCAGGCTTGTGAATATATATTTGATGTCCACTGGAATTTTTCTGCGTTAATTAGAAATGCGTCTAACTCTAATTGATTTCATTGTTGGTAGTTTGTCTCCGTATCCAAGTGAACAAGGAGAATAAGGAGTTCAAGGTAAGCCTGACCATTGCGAGAAACGGAGGAATTACGGCGTCGTAATTGTTGCTTGTACTTTGTTCTTTCGTTTTTCCCGGTTCTGCAGGATCTACCGCCCGAGCGTGCTTTTGCAGATTCTGTTCTCTGCAGATTGGTGCTTCCACTTGGTGATCATGAACTTCCTTGGCTGAATTACAGCCACGGGCTTTGCAGGAAGATTTCTACTGATAGCCGAATGTCTCTCCGTTGCTGATCCTTTCTTCGTTCATCGGATTGCAACTTACAAGTGGTGATACCGGCATATTCTTGTCGAACGACTTGGAAGCAGAAAATGGATGATGTCTTATGCTTTCCAACTTCACTTGTTCCATCTTTTAGTACATGTTCAAGCTCTATCGATAAAGAATTAGGATCATAGAATTTGTTGAAGGAATCTCATATTTCTCAGAGTGTCAAGACCTGAAAGATGAAGTAATTTGCAGAGTATCGAAGTGCACCGAAAAATTACAGCAAAAGCCGAAAGGGGCCACGAGTTCACCCCCGATCACCGGCCCTTCCTCCAAAACACTGGACCATGGCTCGGTGTCCCCGTTTCCAACACACGTCTCGAGTTTTCTCGTCATCAATGGTGGGAGATAAAAGACGGCGCACTTCCGAATCACCATGCATCACGTGATTAACGGAACTACTAAGATTATTACATAGCGTTATCTTACATCTGGTGAAAGCAAAGCTTTGCTCGGCGTCCTAGAAGTCAAATTAAAGCAAAGTACCATCCGATGCGTCTCCAGTGGAACGGATCCGATCGTCAACGCAACGGTTCTTTTTCCTCTTTTTCTTCTCAAAACGAACGAAAAACGCCAAAGACACATAAAAAGAGGCGCATGAAAAAGTCCCCAAAAGCTAACATTGAATAAGGCCGAAAGTTGCAATAAAAACATTAAATTCCTACACGAAATAAAAGTGAATAATAGTGTCTCTTTTTTTTTAATCATCGTCTCTCTCTCTCCCTCTCGCCGCCCTTCAAATTTCGAAATTCAAAAAAAGAAACTCCTCCAACGTTCGACATCCATCCTCTCTTCTTCGCTCGCTGTTAAAACGACCCCCCAGTTCCTCTCTCCGCTCGCCGCAGCTTCTTCACCTTCTTCTTGTTTCTCTCCTGCTCTCGATGTTGCCGAGCTCGAGCCCCGCGTAGCTCCGTCCCGGGGTCGTCGGCCCTCCGAGTTTCCCCGGCTGCCGCTTCACTCCGGCGGTGTCGCTTCGAGCTGAGGGGGTAAGCTTTTTCTTCATGCGCTCGTTCCGCCTTTTCATTTGGGCGTGTGGACCGAGGTTCTCGTGCTTAACTGCTTAGAGTCGGACGGTGCGCGCGAGCGCGATTCGGTGTGCGCGGCTCGTTCGTTGACGGCGCGTCGCTTCGTAATTCCTACTGTTTTAGCAATTCTTGTCGTAATTCAGTGAGATTATGAAAATGTGAGAAGCTTTAGGAATGGTTCGGATTCGAAGCCACGGCTCGATGCGATGCTGTCACTTTGAACTGGTTAAGGCTGAGGTTTTTTGTAATTTAGTCTCTGATAACTCAGTGATATTGTTCTCTGCACAAGATGCTCTGCTCACAAGGGGTCACTTACTAAATCAAATTACTATGAGATTATGGTCGCATGTCCCGGGGCTCTTTTAACAATTTCCTGATGAATTCCAGGCTCTCATAGGACAGAGATGGATACCGGAGTTCACCTGAGAAGAATGAGCACGCCCGGAATCCGGCAAGTCAATAACTCCAGAGACGACGCCGACAGCGTAGTCAGCAGCGCCGAGTTCGCTAGCTACACGGTCCACATACCCCCCACGCCGGAGTACCATCCGATGTACATGTCGATCGAGACTTCAAATGCCGAGAAAGTCGAAGACCTGTACGCGTCGAACTCGCTCTTCACGGGAGGGTACAACCGCGCCACGCGCTCCTTTTTGAAGGAGAAGATGACCGACTCCGTGTCGAACCATCCTCAGATGGCGGGTGCGAATGGATCAACCTGCGCGGTACCCGGGTGCGACGCGAAGATCATGAGGGACGAGCGAGGAGAGGACATTGTCCCGTGCGACTGCGATTTCAAGATATGCAGGGACTGTTTCAGGGACGCGGTGAGAGGGGGAGATGAGGTTTGTTTGGGATGTAAGGAGCCTTACAAGGGGCTGGACATAGCCGAGGCCGAGATGAATGATGGGCGGCGGGTGTCTTCCGGTGGAATGTCGAGGACCGAGCGAAGGATGTCCCTGATTAAATCAAGGATGTCGATGAAGAGGTCGGAAATGGATGATTTTGATCATAAAAATTGGCTCTTTGAAACGAAGGGGAGCTATGGCTATGGTAACGCGATGTGGCCTAAAGAGGACATCGATGGAGATTGCGACGGATTCGGTGACCCTCAAGTGCTTTATGACAAAAAGTGGAGGCCCCTTACTCGCAAACTAAATGTCTCGACTAAAATCCTTAGTCCCTACAGGTACATTCTATTGAACAACTTTGAAGCTCTCTTTTGTGCCTCTGTGCTTGATAAGTATAGTATGCTTCTTTGGCTGATACCAATACAGTTTTCCTTGGAGTTAAACATTGCATAATCGCAGTGTGCTGCTCAAGTTTGCTTCTCTTTTGAATCATGAACTGAAATTTTTCACTATGTGATGTTCCAAAATAGATGGTCATGACAAAATCCATTGTAGCACATACTGGTGAATCAATGAGATGCTTTCTCGATTGCATAATTTGCATGATGAACCTATTTATCTTCAATATTATCTCTGTGATTTTCTGTTAAGATTATCTTTCTGGCAGTGTGATTCTTAGTCTAGCGTGTTGCTGCTACTGAAGTTGTTAGTTGCATAAATTTGGATTAATTTTCTTGCATGATTACTGTGATAAGTATATTTCTGACTGGTTTTCACCATGGTTGACATGCCGTATCGCTCAAATGGACCATATTTTCTTCAGTTTAGAAGACCTTAATCTATGCTTTAGGGCATTCTTTATTGCGGCCGAGTTGGTGAACATTCTCATCAGCATATTGTAACATTTCTTCTTTCAGGCTCTTAATTTTCGTCCGAATTATTGCTCTGGCGCTACTTTTGGCATGGCGGATTAAGCATCCTAATGAAGATGCGATGTGGCTGTGGGGAATGTCTGTGGTTTGCGAGATATGGTTTGGAGTCTCATGGCTACTTGACCAACTTCCAAAACTCTGTCCTATTAATCGCGCTACCGACCTTGATGCTCTGAAAATGAAGTTTGAAACTCCTACTCCTACCAACCCTACTGGAAAATCTGATCTCCCGGGCATCGATATCTTTGTCTCCACCGCTGATCCGGAGAAGGAACCACCTCTTGTCACTGCAAACACCATTCTGTCTATATTAGCAGCTGACTATCCTGTCGAGAAGCTCGCATGTTACGTGTCTGATGATGGAGGTGCACTCTTAACCTTTGAGGCAATGGCAGAGGCTGCAAGTTTTGCCAATTTGTGGGTCCCATTTTGCCGTAAGCATGAAATTGAACCCAGGAATCCAGAATCTTACTTCAGCCTAAAGAGAGATCCCTACAAAAACAAGGTCCGACAGGATTTTGTTAGGGACCGTAGGCGGGTTAAGCGTGAGTATGATGAATTTAAGGTTCGGATCAATGGCCTTTCCAATTCGATACGACGACGTTCGGATGCTTACAATGCTTGCGAGGAGCTAAAAGCTGCGAAGCTGCAGAAAAAAAATGAATCTGGTGAAGGAGTGGAGATTTTGAAGATTCCTAAAGCTACTTGGATGGCTGATGGAACCCACTGGCCGGGCACCTGGACTGTTCCTGCAGCTGAACACTCGCGGGGTGATCATGCAAGCATCATACAGGTATGACTTTGACTAATAAAAGGATTCCGAGTGCTTAAGATTGATTTGTTCACAATCTTAACTGTATGAATTGCAGGTAATGCTGAAACCTCCAAGTGATGAACCATTGAGAGGTACTGAATCAACATCACCTGTTGATCTAACTGAAGTGGACATTCGTCTTCCCATGCTGGTGTATATATCTCGTGAAAAGCGTCCTGGTTATGATCACAACAAGAAAGCCGGTGCTATGAATGCACTTGTTCGAGCCTCGGCCATTATGTCTAATGGCCCCTTCATCCTAAACCTTGACTGCGACCATTATGTATACAATTCCCAAGCAATGAGAGAAGGCATGTGTTTTATGATGGACCGAGGCGGAGATCGCATCTGTTATGTCCAGTTCCCACAGAGGTTTGAAGGAATAGACCCATCCGATCGCTATGCCAATCACAACACCGTCTTTTTTGATGTCAACATGCGTGCTCTTGATGGTTTACAAGGCCCGGTTTATGTTGGAACCGGATGCCTCTTTCGTCGGACTGCTCTATATGGCTTTGACCCACCTCGAGTCAAAGAACGTGGTGGCTGCTTTAGACAGATCTTCAAGCGACATCAATCATCTGCTGCTGTTGCTTCTACTCCTGAAATTTCCCTTGTCGAAAATCACTTTCTTGGTATGGGAGATTCTGGCCAAGAAGAAGTGAATCTTCTCCCTAGTAAGTTCGGAAATTCAGTCCTCTTTGTTGAATCTATTCGCATAGCTGAATTTCAAGGTCGTCCGCTCGCTGATGACCCATCTGTGAAAAACGGGCGGCCGCCTGGTGCTCTTGCTATTCCTCGGCAGCTTCTCGATGCACCGACTGTTGCTGAGGCAATCAGTGTCATCTCATGCTGGTATGAAGATAAAACTGAATGGGGGCAACGAACTGGTTGGATATACGGGTCTGTCACGGAAGATGTGGTCACGGGATATAGAATGCATAACCGAGGATGGAGATCTGTTTATTGTGTTACCAAGAGGGATGCTTTCCGTGGGACCGCGCCTATTAATCTCACTGATCGGCTCCACCAGGTTCTTCGATGGGCCACCGGTTCTGTGGAAATATTCTTCTCTCGTAACAATGCGCTTCTAGCCAGCAGAAGGATGAAGTTTTTGCAAAGGATTGCTTATTTGAACGTTGGACTCTACCCATTCACTTCCATTTTCCTAGTTGTCTATTGCTTTCTTCCAGCATTATCCCTCTTCTCTGGTCAGTTCATTGTTCAGTCCCTTAATGTTACTTTTCTGACTTATCTCCTAGCAATCACTTTAACCCTATGCATCCTGGCAATGCTCGAGATCAAATGGTCCGGGATCGAATTGGAAGAATGGTGGAGAAACGAGCAATTCTGGCTGATCGGAGGGACGAGTGCTCACCTTGCTGCCGTAATACAAGGATTGTTGAAGGTGATAGCAGGGATTGAGATCTCCTTCACCCTGACATCGAAATCAGCCGGTGATGAGAACGACGACGAGTACGCGGAGCTCTACTTATTCAAATGGACGTCGCTGATGATACTTCCGATCACCATCATGCTGACCAACTTGATCGCGATCGCGGTGGGGGTCTGTCGGACGATATACAGCATTATACCTCAGTGGAGCCGACTGATGGGAGGTGTGTTCTTCAGCTTCTGGGTCCTCGCTCATCTCTATCCTTTCGCCAAGGGGCTCATGGGAAAGAGAGGGAGGACGCCGACGATCGTGTACGTTTGGTCAGGCCTCATAGCCATTACCATTTCTCTCCTTTGGGTGTCGATCAAACCTCCAGCAGGTAGCAATCAAATTGGAGGCCCCTTCCAGCTGTGGTAGTAGTTTAAGTCATCTTGGATGATTTGGCCTCATCAGACTTTATTTCTGCTTGTGGGACAACTTTCAATGTCCCTAGGTTGACGATGGTACATGCACGTTGCTTGGTGTAGTTATTCTTGTTGAGTTCGAACCTTAAGTCGTTCTTTAGAAAGGTTTCCAGCATTCGTATTAGCAACCATTTCCATTTGCACGCTTTCATGTTGCAATCTGTTGCACTTTGCTTGATTGAAAAATATAGGGAAACTTCCTTAGGGGAGAAAAAGCACAGAACCAACATCACCAGTAAAATCTATTACATGTCTCCCTGCAGACGCCTTAACTGTCGCCCCGACACTCTTTCTGCTGTCATCGAAGTCTACGAGAGATACCAAACCGAATTGTTAGGATCGAACACCGCAAGGAAAATATAGATTGGATCTTATGGGTCTCGCATAACAAATTCGGGATACGTGATCCGAGTGCAATTAATAATTTTCCTAAAAAAGAAAGAACAGGTAACCTCACAAAGAAGGTAATGATGCACAAATTAGCTAAAGAACAGCCGTAGTGGGACCTAACATCACTCAGCAACCTAAACTTGCATTACTCAGCTGGAATATATTCCCTTCGCAACTAGAGGCAAATCAAAATCTGTAGAGATTGTTTAATCAAGGCTACCTTACACATATCCACACAAAGAATGGAAAGAATATATTCACGGATCTCCAAACTATATCATCCCCTCAATTATTCCACAAAATTCTCAAAAAGAAAGGGAAGCCAATTTACATATATGATTCTATGACCCATCAGACAGACGCCTGATTATCCGAGACCGACCTGACCGGGATCCGCTCCCTCTGCCTCGGCCGGCGCTTGTGGCTGCCGCCAAACTTGAGCCTCCCTGTGTCCTTGAACCGCGCCTTCTCTGATGGGACGATCACGCACTCCGGCAGCGGGACAGGGTACCGCAGCGTGTCGTAACAGTAGGAGTAGTACATGTATCGCTCGCGGAACCGGCGCATGGAGCAGCGCTGGGCCGGCGTGATGGTGGCGAAGCTCCTGGCCTCGAGCTGGGCGTCCTTCTCGCGGTAGCCCTCATCCGGGAATTGCCGGATCGGGTCGGCCAGGCAGCCCTCAAGGACAAGGTCCTTGAACTCGGACACGAACGGCGCGTACTTGTAGTTGACTTTGTATCGGCCACCGGAGGTCGCCCAGTCGGAGGCGTCCCAAATGGTGGCATAGAGGGACATGGGCTTCAATGGGAAATCACTACCCATTGCCTCACTTTTCACTATCTCTCTAACAGGCACTTCATCCACATAAAATCTGTAAAAAAATGAGAAAAGTCACACCAAATTGTTTATCAAGAACGATTAGCCGAGATAATTACATGATAAGGGAAGATCATGTGTTATCTTCGGCACGAAAGCTAGGACGGTGAACATACACAAGCATGAAAATTTTCTAAACGTGTAGTTGGTTTGCAAGCTAGGGAATATCTGATTGTGGAAAAATTTAGGCATGGTGCAGAAAAGTTAGGTAGCAAGCTCTGTCAATGGAATTTATGGGAAAACTACGTGAGGGTCTTTCTCTAAAGTAGCCGAAGGTATGAGATTAATTACTACTCTTGGCCCAACTCTCCTTAATTGTCAAAATTCGATCTTTTCACTGCCATGAAAACTTGAGCCATGATGGTTCTTGAAAATACAGAGCTTTCCCCATTTTCGGACAGAACCTCAAACGTTAGAACAGCTTCGCTGTTGGCCCGATTTGAGCCGCCAAGAAAGAAAAGAATTCCTCGTTTCTTTCAAATGGGACGTAGTTGAGAGACTCACATGATCTTGTTGGTGGTCCAAAGGATGCTGTAGCGATGGTATTCCTTGGTGGGATCGAACCAGAGCGTGTATCTCTCTTCCCTCCCACGGTGCGTGCTTCCGTTCCCGTAGACGTTGGTCTGAAACCTCCACGGCTTGCCTCTTACGTTGCCCAGAAACTCTATGTCCAGCTCGTCGTGGGTCTTCTCGAACACGTCGCCGTTCGATGTCTGCACCCAGCCGCACGCGCACGCATAATCAGTCAACACGCAAAACCATCGCACGTCTTAATCAAGAAGGTGTAGCAGATTACGAGAACACCCCGGTGAGAACACCCCGGTATGATATCTTAGCCTGATTAATTTCTTTATTAATGCCTCGTTAATGGCGGAGATAATTCAAAGAAGAGAGAGTTTTGTTTCCGTTTCGAACGCGTCTCTGAATCTTCGTTCCTCCGTCCCCTCCGATTCCGGACTCATCCCCGAAAAATAGATGATTGAAGATTGAACGTAATCGAGCAAAACTCACATAAAAGGCGACGACGACGCCGGCGGTGTAGTCCGACGGCAGCTTGATCTTCGCGCTGAAGAATCCATGTCGATACATATCGGAAGAGATGAACCCGGACCCTGAAAACATCAAGAAGAAATAAGAACGCCATGAGAGAAAACGAGTAAGAAGACGATGGGATTGATTATTATTAGGCAAAGTCAACGAGATCATCGCATGATCATGCAAATAGTTTAACCCGTATGCCGATGCGCACACGTCGCATGCGCGTTTCGCAACTCCACACGCACACGCACATGCAGAGGCGGAGGCGGAGGAGGGATACGAACCGGTGAAGCGGTCGAGGAGGATGCGGACGCCGTCGCCGGCGGCGGAGCGGACGACGTTGCCGTCCCCGAAGAGTGGCCGGTAGCCCTCGTCGAAGGAGATGGGGGCGACGTCGAAGGCGGCGTTCGACGTCGAGACGACGAAGCAGAAGAAGGAGATGGAGATGAAGAGGAGGGGGGAGAGAGCAAGAGAAGAAGGTGGTGTGTAGAGAGAGAAACGACGACGGGAAGGAGGATGACGACGATGACGATCCATGGCTTTGTCTTCTTTGGCTTTCTTTCTCTCTCTCTCTCCTCCGTCCGCTGCCCTTGCTTTCCATTGAAGCATTTGGCTGGTTTTATATATTAAACACACATTGCCATGCCAGCACGTACAGCTGGAATTTTCCCAATTCAAAAGGGTCGCGGAATTGAATTGACATTTCTTTGGTAAATAGCAGGTAGGGTTTGAATTGAACGTCGTTGTGACGAAAATGCCCTTCTGTAGTTAGCACTAATCACGAGTTTTATACCACTAGTCACCGACTAATTAATCAAGTCCAATACTCTATGATGCGAAAGGTACCTGCTCTCGAATTAATATTATTATTATTATGAGCGACGATGACTTTAGTCGCGTTCAGTTCGCATTCGCATCAGGAGACTAAATTTTGCTCAGGAATCACATAAAAGTCCTTAATATTTGAGAATCGGAAATGATATCGATCTGGAATTGACATAAGGAATGATCGGATTCGGCGACATAAATGAGAAGATACCACGCGCGGATGAAGTCCGGGTTGATCGTTTTTTCCGGTACTTTACTTTTTTAATTACGGACGAACTCGGAAAGTATGAATTAACATGAGATTGACAAAAACGAGCATTGCGCGCGTAGATGAAAACCCGTTTCGGTGCGTGAAAACTTATCCGATACGGTATTTATTTTTAGTCCTAAGCTCTGTTTTTCCTCTTTCCGCTTCCTTTTTTTTTCAATCCTGCATGATGGGTTTGGTTCGTATCTACAGAAGATGCCAAGTTGGAAATACTATATAATTACCAGCAAAGAAAGGGGATTGGAGCTTGCCATGTCATGCACAGCCGCCAAACCAGCATGGCTGATGAGCTGAGCTAGGGTTTCCTGCTGCTGCGTTGACAACTGTGGAGGGACATATACACGGAAGGGAAGGTGAGACGACTAAAGAAAGACGGGTTTCGCGCCAAGGTTTCTGCCATGAACGTGAACAGCGACCGTGATATGTCATGTGGGGAATAGCAACTGGCATTTTACCAAGGCGACATACCCTCAACTCAATCATGCCTCGGTTTCTTTAATGGATTCTTGGTATCCGCAAAGGATGGCGACTTCTGCAGAAGCTTGCTGTACCAGTTCGGTTGCACCAGCTTCTTCGATCCCTTTGTTTAATCCGCATGCGATTAAAGAACTAGTTTCATCATCGTTCACGAGAGGACATAGGCCGGGATTGTTTAATGGACCGCAACTTGTCCTCACGCGAGCATGAACCATTCACCCTTTTAATTAAATTTCCCTGTTTGATCATCGCCCTTCCCCTGTCCATTTCGTTCCCACCGTATGTAATCGGAATCGTTTCTTGACTTGAGATAGGAACTGATGAGTCACAGTTCTCTTCGGTTCTTATCCATGTTTTGACCCGAAAGAGGGGGAAAAGAAAACAGAGGATCAGCTCGAATGAATACCCAAAACTCATTTTTGACAGGTAAGAATGGTTACAGCTCAATTTCCTTTTTTATCTCTCTAAGCTTACTCAGACATGGCTGCCCTTTTCTGTTGGTCAGAATTTGGACACTTGCCAATCCCAAGAAAGGAAGGAAAAAACAAAAGCAAAAGCAAAAACAAAAATAGATTTGAAGGAAAAGAACCGTGGAATCCTCCATCGAGCCGAAGTATTTTCCACACCGAAGAGCGCGAATCGGTGTGAATGTCATGCACGTATACTTTTTTGCTTAGCATTGCTTGCATGAAAAATGACGTCGCCGTCGATAAAACGTATGGCGATCAAGATTCGGGACTCGGTCGTCTTGGAAAAATTCGAGCTTTTGCGTTGCTCGGTCAATAATGTCCTCTGGATCTTGGAGCAAGAAGATATCGAGTAGATTCAGTGATGGGTATTGGCCAGTGGAGAAGGTGGGTCAAAGACACCAAATAATGGTCCGTATTTTAAAGCATCATCATTCATTAGCGTTCGGAAGAGGATATTTAGGGGTTTTCTAATCATTCGAGGAATCGTGTGAGGAACCAAGCCGAACCATGGCTTCGACTGTGCGACCATGGTTAGAGAGAGAGAGAGAGAGAGAGACAGAGGATGTGCCACATGACCCCTCCCTTTCTCTCTCTAGGTTGACCAAGATCAAACAACCATAATCATAATAGTAGCAATTATAATAATGATGATGAAATCGAAATTAAAGGGTGTATGAAATGAACTTCTCGTGAATGATGATGAGTTTGGTCTGGAATTAAAATCAAGAATTTGGTAAGAGACAGGTGGCGGTAGGTAGGCGCTTGCGTACGAAAGAGAACAATAAATAATTTTAGAATCAAAGGAGGAGGAGAGAGAGGCTACTAGACTCTAGAGAGAGAGAGAGAGAGAGAGAGAGAGGGGTTAGTAGAGGCCTGTTGCAACAAGTCTTGTAATTGCGAGGGGAATGCGAGGGCATTGAAGTAAATTCACGGTTGCTGAATATTCAGGGGGGTTTTTTTTTTTTGGGCATTAACAGATGGGGAAAGAGTTCGTTTTTTTCGCTTTTCCGCGCAAACTTAAATTGATATTGAATTTTCAGGAAATTATTTTTAGAAAAAAAGTTTTATGGTGGTCTATGTGTTGGTGTTTACGAGACGTGGAAGTTTCAGGTGTCTCGAAATAAAGAAGAATAAAAAAAATTGCGTGAAACTCGGAAGTTTCGTTGAGTGAAAAGTAAAAGTCAATTCAGACACGCTTCAATTTACTTGATTAGGAAAACAAATTTCATTCCAATACCTTTCTCCATGTAAAAAAGGAAAAAAAATAGGAACATTAATGAATGTGAGGTAATAAGATCAATAAATTATTAGAAAACCTATGAGGAATAAAAAAAAATCGAATAAATATTATGGGTAATTCAAATAAGAGCTGGTAACAATATCATTAGGTTATAATTGGAGAGATTTGATAACTCGATCAAATTGATGTGGGATCATAAGTATATTGAAAGTCCTAAAACTTATCGCGAAAATACAATTGAGTCCAAAAATTTGTAAAAAGTGCAATCCAATCTTAAAACTTGTCAGCTAACTGAAAATGCTCATGTGGCTTTTTTAAAAATTATTTTCTCTATCATATGCGACTAAAACGACGTCGTTTTGGTTAATTTCTGATTTTTAATACAAATTTTGTTCAAATTATATTAAGAGTTAACTAAATTAAAAAAAAAACATATAAAAAAACCTGGAGGCGATGACTCAAGCCCTTGCCAACCGTAGGTGAACGTCTGCGGGCCCTTAGTCAGATCTGGGCAAGGGTCACAGCCCTCACCTCTATCCTAGGTCTAGCTGAGGGCTAGTGTGGGTCACCAACCCCTAATCGAGGCTCGGTGACCCCACCGACCATTTCCCCACCTTCGCTAGGAAGTGCCAACGATGGTGGGCCATGGGCCTCGCCACCTGGTTTCTCACCGATATCTCTCTCTCTATATATGTATCTCAATTTAGCTTATTTTTTAAATATAATTTAAATAAATTTATATTAAAAATCAAATTTGGACCAAAATGACATCGATTGGCGTCTTGTTTCATGTTTTAGCCACGTCATTGCCACATAGGAGAAAGAGATATTAAAAAAAAAAACTACGTCGGCATTTTTTTGTTAGTCAAATTGGACGGAATTGACAGAAGGACTTGATTATACAAATTTGACAAGTTTTAGGATTTGATTGCACTATTTTGTAAATTTTAGTACTCAAATACACTTTCGTGACAAGTTTTGAGATTTCCAGTGTATTTATCTCTATTAAGATTGATTATGTGATTTAAGAGCGAGTAACCTTTGCAAGTCGATGGTTTACACAAATAAAAAAAATACCGAGTATTAAAAATGTTGGTAATTTACCCATAACTAAATAGACATTGGTAAGTTTCTTAAATAAGAGTCGTAACAAAGTTGAAGGAACATTAATAGGTCACTCGAATTAATGCTTGCAATATCATACAAGAGATGATATGGTTTTTTTTGTCAAAGTAAAATTTCATTCATTTCCATGAAAGTACAAGAGAAAAACAAAGCAGTCAAATCATAAAGTAAGACAAATTCCAAACAACTTTAAAGCAAAACGAATTTCAGATAACAAGATAAATCATCAGAAAAAAGTTAGAGATCACCTGTTCAAAAAAGCAAATATATGACTTTTTCAAACCAAAAACGAGCAGTCGATCATCGAATCCGTCTTCAATAATGAGCATAAATCGAAATCTCCATCTATTACTACAATCTTGCCTTTCGGCGGTGCGCGCCTAGTTTCGGTGTCTCTAATATCATCTCCGTTTAGAGTAACAAGGTTGAACAAGTATATATCTGATGTTTGTGAAAGTTAAACATTCGCAAAACTCCTCCAATCTCCTTATTATAAATTCACTACACCAAAGATAATATACGTAACATTATTAGGTTTAATGGAAATTATATTTAATGGGCTTTTTTAAGGGAAAATTTCAAATAAAGGGTCCGACGAGTCTTTATTTTCTCAAATAAGAACATGAAGTAGATATTGTTTCAAATGAGGACTTGAAGTGCCCTCATTTTTTCAAATAAAGACCTAAAGTGAACCTTATTTCAAATAAGGGTATGAAGTGACTATGTCAGTCTCAAAAAAGGCTCGACCTCATCAGGGTCAAGGGCATTTTCATCTTTTATTTTTTTTGATTTTTTTCCTTTTATGTTTTTTTTCCATAAAAAACTCAAAAAAGAAAAAAAAAAGACTAAAGTTAATAAAAAAACGGAACATACAACTCCGCCTGTGGCCACCGCCCATCGCTGGTGGGGCGGCAACAATGGCTGGCGAGGTTGTCATCCTCTCTCGATTTTGGCGAGCGTGCAAGCTAACCTCACCTCTAGTCGGCCGAGGCTGCCGCCTCTTCGAGGCGTTGGCAACCCCTCCGGCCATCACCGTTGCCCCACCGGCGACGGGCGAGTGGCCACTGGCAAGAGGGCTAACACTTTTATTTTTTCTTTCTTTTTTTTTAAAATTTTTTTTAGTTTAATTTAATTAAAATTTATGTAAAATTATTTTTGGACAAAAATACTCTTGATCGACAGGAAAATTTGGGCAATCGACAAGCTGGCAGGGTTTTGACCCTTATTTAAAACTGTTATAGTCACTTCATGTTCTTATACGAGAAAATATTGGTAATTGTCTCGTGTTAATTTTCTGTCGCTTTTCACAACGGCGATCCTTTTTGCATTGGGGTGGTGATTTTCATTTACTAAATGGTTATTCTGTTTTTTTTTATCAGATTGAACAAGCTAATTGGTGATTAGTCAATTTGAGTAGAAGTTCGTTACGCCCGGATTCAACTCCACGCTTCCGTCCAAGCTTTCTATTATTTGTCCAAGTTGATTCGCAAAGGTAAAATCCTCACATGTGGTTATCGCAGCGCGCTTTCTTGTGGTTATTCATGGTGGACAACTGTATTTGTTCAAGGTGCATTATATTGTGCAGATGCGCATAAGAAGACCATTAGGAGTATTAACATTCTAGTGTCTAGGCAAGCATATTGAATTTGCATTGCTGTTTGGGTGTACTTTTCAATAGTTGTCAGTGAGCAAGCTTGTTGTACCCGAATTATCTTTACAGTGAGTTATATGTTGACAATAACATCACGCCCGCTGAACATCCAAGCATATCACTAGTCAAGAAGCTGCATGTATTGTAAATGTTCTTTGGAGTCTGGATACCCTGCACCTTATCTTCTACTCGTCGTCTCGCATGTTTTGTCATCATCAAGAAGCCGTATGTATGGATCGCCGAGGTTTTATTCAAAACTGATTCCCGGGTGCATGTGTAACATCCGAAGAAGCACCATATAATAAATGATCTTGTTCGTGGTCATCTTCCATACCTTATAATCTCCCTTAGTTCTTGTGTCGAGTGGCGTCTCCGTCGCTCTTCCCCGGTCCCTTCCCCTCGCGTATTTTGCTTCTAGCGATCCGCTCGCTCGGGTCGTTCGAGTAATTTGTAAGCAAGTCGTGTTCCTATGGGTCCTTCGATGGAGGAAAAGCTTGAAAAGCTTTATTGATCAAAGATCCGACGAACCGTGGGAACATCATCCGACTAGTGATATGCTTGGATGTTCTCGCGGCGTGATTTTTTCTCTTCTTATTTTTACATGACTATGTTATTGATTTAATGCATGACTCATATGATTCTCAATCTATCAAGGTTACATGGCATCTCAAAAAGAGATATTCAATGCAAAGTGGATCGAGCCTTTAACCAACATGTTTGTAAGTTTGTTGGTTGAGGAGGTTAAAAAGGGAAATCGAACATCTTCTACTTACAATAAAGTTGGGTGAAATAATATACGGATCAATTCATTAAACAAAGATACTAATATACCCTAGTTCGCTTGAAGAACAAGGTGAACAAACCGAGGAAACAAGATGGTAGTTTTAAGAAGCTTCTTTCGCAATCCGGATTTGGCTGGGATAATGTGAATAAAACTCGTTATTGTCGACGATCCAAGTATTTGGGAATCTCACATCAAGGTATCTTTTAACTTTTGATTATTTTGATTTCATTGTACATGTAAGTTTGATTATTTTATCTTTTAACTTATTGTAATTGCGTGTTGTGCTCTCCATAATTACATTCGTGAGGAGGACAAGATGGACAAAAACTTTTCCCATTATGGAGATCCAAACTACCCATTTGGAGCTAGAGAAGTGGAGGTTGCGGATGATACACCACTTGAGCAAGCAAATGAGATAAACATGCTTAGGAAAAGTATTGCAAATAAAATGGCAAGGGATTACAATCTGCCCGAGATTCCATGATTTGTGTTTCCGACTTTTGTAATATTATTTTTAAATACTACATGACGATGGGAGAGGATCCTTACATGTACCTTTGTCATTTCCTTTTGTTTTATTACATGTACTTTACTGATGGTATGACATGAGTTGATCAACGAAAAATCTAGTAACTCAAGGCGCAATTTTAGTCCAGTCAAAATTGTTTATACAAGATTGCTTAGGTAGTTGCTTAGGGGGAAGTTGGGCTTACATAAGTTCCTGCCAGCACTTCTTTGTGATACCTAAAGTTTTAACTAATAAAACATCCACAAAAATTTTCTCCATAATGAAAAAAAGGAAAATGATTTAGATAAGATTCATCTTAAAGTCTTCAATACAAGCACTAACCTAATATTTGGATTTGGAGTAATGTTTCCATTCTAATTCCAGGTTCTTCGATAGGAGCAAAAATACGGTAAAGTCAAAATACGGTATACATCGCTAGGAGTGATAGAGGGAAGAGTTTGTACCAACTATATACCATGTTTATACATATCACCATGTTTCCTTCACTTACAAGAAAAGATAAAATTGGTAAGTGCTCCATGAGAATTAATACCAAGTTTTAAAAAGCACTTAAAAATTTAGAATAAATTTTCTCATAGCTTACCAAACGCATTCTGTTCTTTTTCTATTCTGGAATAAAATTTTCTCATAGCTACCAAACGCATTTATGTTCTTTTTCTATTCCAGAATAGAAATTTTGGACAGCTAACGAAACGCCTTCAAACGCTCGTAAATTTTCCCTACACGAATAAAAAATCATTTCTGTTCGTAAATAGCTTCCAAGACAGAATTGTCATGCGCCTTATTCAGAATTTTTCTATTTTTTTTATTAATTAACTTCACGAAATAAGTTGGGAAAAAGAAGAAAAAAACAAAAACAAAAGCAAACTGCTGTGCTGCTGGAACCCTGAAATGCAGAAGAAACCCTTCGGCTCCTCCTCCTCGTCGCTCTCAGCGTCCTCCGGCTGCTGCACACCCACGGGCACCGGCACCGGCACCGGAACCGAAATGGCGGATGAAGAATCGGACTCGAAGCGGGAAGCCCTGCTTCTCAAGGCGCTCGCGGAGACCAGGTTCAAGTCCTCTAACCTCAAGTCCGCCCTCAAGAACGCCCGGCGAGCCCACCGCCTCTGCCCTTCCCTCGACGGCCTCGCCGGCATGGTCACCACATTCGGCATCCTCGACTCCGCCGCCAAGTCCCCCCCGGAGTACTACAGGATCCTCCAGGTAGAGCCCTTTTCCCACATCAACGTCATTAAGAAACAGTACAAGAAGCTGGCCCTCGCGCTCCACCCGGACAAGAATCCCGGGTTGGGCTCCGAGGATGCGTTCAAGGTCGTGGGCGAGGCGTTCCAGTTCTTGTCCGATAGGGTCAAGAGGAAGGAGTACGATGTTGGGTTGAGGGTTAGGATGCAGGAGGAGGCCGCAGAGGGCCTGAATGCGGCGGAGACGTTCTGGACCGCGTGTTCGCGGTGTCGGCTGTTGCATCAGTTCGAGAGGAAGTACCTGGGGCATAGCTTAATCTGTCCTAGCTGTAAGAAGAGTTTTACGGCCATGGAGGTCGAGGGCGAAGGGGAAGATGGCGAGGGGTCGAAGGGTGGAGTTGGGTGTGAGGGATCGAAGCGAAAGGCGGGGGCTGTCCGTGTAGGTGTTAAGAGGAAGGTGAGTAGTGAGGACAGGACGAGGGATGTCAAGTTGAAGAAGAAAGTGGGTGGTCGTGGTGAAATTGAGGGTTCGAATGGCGATCATGGTGGCGGAAATGGCGAGTGGGGTGCGGGGAGAATCGGTGTCTACGTAGGTGTTAAGAAGAAGGTGAGTAGTGAGGACAGGATGAGGGATGTCAACTTGAAGGAGAAAGTGGGTGGTGGTGGTGGTGAAATAGAGGGTTCGAAGGGCGATCATGGTGGCAGAAGTGGCAAGAGGGGTGCAGGGAGAATCGGTGTCTATGTAGGTGTTAAGAAGAAGGCGAGTAGTAAGGACAGGATGCGGGATGTCAAGTTGAAGGAGAAAGTGGGTGGCGGAAGTGGCGAGTGGGGTGCAGGGAGAATCGGTGTCTATGTAGGTGTTAAGAAGAAGGTGAGTAGTGAGGACAGGACGAGGGATGCAAAGTTGAAGGAGAAAGTAGGTGGCGGAAGTGGCGAGTGGGGTGGAGGGAGATTGCGGAGTAGAGAATTGAGGGCAAGAACAAGTATGATTACAGAAGTGGCGAAACAGCCGGAGAAGAGGGGGGGAAAAGCTGAGGAAACGATGACATTGGCAGAAATACAGTTGGAAATGAATAGAAAGATCAACAAGGAGAAAATGATATTGCAAAAGAAGGAGAAAGAGAAGGAGAAAGAGAAAGAGAAAGAGAAGGAGAAGGAGAAGGAGAAAAAGAAGGAGAAGGAGAAACAGAAGGAGCAGGTAGAGAAGGATGATGAAGGAAAGAGGGCAGAGGATGATGGCGAGGATAGAAGAAAAGCTTCAAAGAAGGATGGTGCTTATGAAGTTGAATCAACTCATGGAATCTCAAAGAGAAGTGGAGTTTTGGCGATTGAGATAAGATACTCAAGGAGGAGTAGGACTCCGGGTATTAGGAGGCAAAGTAATTCGGAAAGAAGAGATGGTTCGGAAGTTGAGATGCAAATAACCGTACCGAAAAAGAGAGCAAACTTAGAGCATGAGAAATCAAGGGGTTCAAAGAGTAAGGATTTGAAGGCTATGGCGGTCGTGGATTCAGACTTCTATGATTTCGATAAGGACAGAGTAGAAAGGAGCTTTAAGAAAGGGCAAGTGTGGGCTGTCTACGACGACATTGACGGACAGCCGAGACATTATGGATTGGTGAACGAAGTTATATGCATTAATCCGTTTGCGGTTAGACTTAGTTGGTTAGATGTACAGTATAGCATAGTCCAGGATCTAGTTGGACAGGATAAAGTGGGTTTTCATCTATCCTGTGGGAGATTTAAGGTTGCTCAAGAAACGATTGTGAAGTCTGTGAATATATTCTCGCATGTGGTTGATTGTGAAAGGGCTGCCAGGGAAATCTACAGGATTTACCCGAAGAAGGGTTCAGTGTGGGCAGTCTTCAAGGAAGGGGTTTTGGATGCTGAAAGTAGAAATCTTTCAAACCGGGATAAATGCTGCTACGATGTTGTCATCTGTTTAACCACCTATAGCGAAATGCACGGTTTGAGCATGGCATACCTTGAGAAGGTGGATGGTTTTAAGACCGTATTCCAGAGACGAGAGATCGGACTGCATGCTATCAGGTGGCTTGAAAAGGATGGAGTCGACCTGTTTTCACATCAGATTCCTGCCCGGAGGCTTTCTGGGAGTGACGTGCCAGATGCTTTGAAAGAGTGCTGGGAGCTCGATCCTGCTTCACTTCCTTCCCATTTGCTGACCACACAGTCACAGAAGCTGCAAATAATGCCTTGTGCTTCTTGATATCTAGCTTTACTGTCACTGGTGTGGATTTTTTAGATATACATTGTGATGACATCTTGTTCTAAGGAACATTGTCCGCCCTTTCTTGTGATGCAGAGTCAATAATACAAGGAGAAAATCTGTAGATTACTCAGAGATTGTTTATGCTGTTTACATTGACGTGCATTCTAATTTGTAATTGCGGCCAAATTAATCGGCTACCTGTTAAAAGACATAGTAAAAGTGTACAAGCCTTTTGTTGTTTTGTGTATATAGCTGCATAAACGAGTTCATCATTCTCAAGCAATATGAATAGTACCATTCTGTAAGATCCATTGCCCCATGAATACACGATGCACTGTCGACCCTTGAGCTCATGTTTTCAGTACTTCATGGAACCTCCAATGAACAAGTTCATAAGCAACAAATGGAGCTCGAAAAAATTTCGAGCTTCTTCGGGAATTCCTTATCGAGGCACTGTGGGTTCCTGAAATGCGAACATTGTGTCGGAGTAAACGTCCGATCTCTGTCATCTTCCAGTTGCAAAGTGAACTAGGACTCCGTCTTCCCGCGCTATGCACATGCTCTTCTGGGGAGAAGAGTAGTCCTTCGTCACGCTCTCGCTATTAGTTCCTCTGGAATGGAACGAGCCAAGAACTCACCCTTTAATGGGTGATCTATCCTGCTGTATTCTAAGGATGATCACTTCGCGAAGAAGGCCATAATTCGAAACTGTATCATATCATATGATCAGAGAATGAGAAAATAGTCTGCAACTTTGAGCTGTTAGCATTTTGAAAATTTATATGACCTGCGATTGACGTCGTCGACAATGCTCAACGCCCCGCCCTGGTTCGAGGCTCATGTCTTGACTAAGGTAGTAGGACATTCGGCCATGGTCGTTTTATGGACGTTGGGTGTCCGGTTTGATTCTCCCGCCAAGACATCTTCGTACCCTCCAAGCCCCTGAGTCTGCGCTCTCGCGACCGCCATCGTCGTTAATCCCTACCCAAACTATGAAGAGAATAAGCTCGAGCTACCTGAAGGCGGAGCGAACCGTCCTGCGACTCCTCCACGGCCGCGAGACCCGGACCCAGCTCTCCCAGATCCACGCCTACTTCCTCCGCCACGGCCTCCACCAGTCCAACCAAGTCCTCGCCCACTTCGTCTCCGTCTGCGGCTCCCTCAACCGGATGCCCCACGCCGCTCGCGTCTTCGACCAGACACACTACCCGAACGTCATCCTCTTCAACGCCATGATCAAGGGCCACTCCCTCTGCGGACCCTTCGAGCGTTGTCTGGATCTGTTCTCCGCCATGAAGGGCCGCGGCATTTGGCCCGACGAGTACACTTTTGCTCCTCTGCTCAAGAGTTGTTCGAGCCTCGGGGACCTGAGGCTCGGGAGGGGAATGCACAGGGATGTGCTTGTTGCTGGGTTTGTGCGTTTTGCTTCAATTCAGATCGGTTTGGTGGAGCTTTATGCTGGATGTGCTGAAATGGGCGATGCACAGAAGGTGTTTGATGAGATGCTTCATAGGGAAGTGATTGTTTGGAACTTGATGGTTCGTGGGTTTTGCAGAGCTGGCGATGTCGAGATGGGATTGGGGGTGTTTAGGAGAATGAGCGAGCGGAATGTTGCTTCCTGGAATACGATAATTTCTTGCTTGGGGCAGAGTGGGAGGGACAGGGAAGCTCTGGAGCTTTTCGACGAGATGCGGAAGCAGGGTTTCGAGCCAGATGAGGTGACGGTTGTCAGTTTGTTGCCCTTGTGTGCTCGTTTGGGTGCAGTGGATGCCGGGCAACAGATTGAATCCTATGCCGAGTCGAGTAGGCTTCTGAAGGATTTCATCTCCGTTGGAAATGCAGTCATTGATTTCTATTGCAAGAGTGGAGATATGGAGGCTTCTATGCGGAAGTTCAGGGATATGCCAAGGAAGAATGTGGTATCATTTAATACCATGATCACGGGCATGGCATTTAATGGGAAGGATCGACTAGGAGTCGAGTTATTTGAGGAGATGGCGACAGAAGGCGTGATTCCGAATGATGCTACTTTTGTCGGTGTCCTGACGTGTTGTAGTCACGCTGGTATGGTGGACAGAGCGCGGGAACTGTTTGCTTCTATGAGCATGGATCACCAAATTGAGCCGAAGCTTGAGCATTATGGCTGTATGGTTGACCTTTTAGGACGTAGCGGATGTGTGAGAGAGGCTTTTGACTTGATCAGGAAAATGCCGATGAAGCCAAACGCTGCACTATGGGGCTCAGCGCTCAGCGCTTGCCGTACTCACGGTGATATGGAGCTCGCAGAACTCACTGTTAAAGAGCTGATCAACCTTGAACCTTGGAATTCGGGTAACTATGTGTTGCTATCAAACTTATACGCAGAAGCAGGGAGATGGAACGAGGTGGAGAAAGTAAGAGTCCAGATGAGAGGACGCTGTGTTCACAAGGTACCCGGCTACAGTGCTGTTGGATGATAAGGAGATCACATTCTTGGTGCTGATCCTCAATCAGTGAACTAGCGAAGCAGGACATTATGGGCGTCTAATGCGAAAGGCGCATGATGTGATGGAGACTTAGCCGGCCACCAAAGGATCGAGAACAGGGAACATCCTCATGGATAATATACTCGATCCGTTACTGGTCAACTTCAAATTACTGATTTCTGTATGATTACTATCAAATCACCAATCAGAGAATCAGCTCTCTCGAGTGGGGAGCGCAACTTTGATGATTCAGAGAACGCATTGCAGCAATTAAGAGGAACATTTTGGTGGAACTGAAGCTGACAGATTATGATAATCTGTGTTTACTTGCTAAGGAACTAGTCGTTTAATGAAACAGGGTCACAATATTTGTTGTACTGGAGCACTCATTCTTGCGAAATTGAGAAGCAAATTAGCCAAGAAATTAAATTCTACCACCGGCCCTAGCGTTCTGCGGAGTTGAAAGACTAAGCCAGGAATTCTACCACTGATCTGGCTCGGTCAATACCAGTTGCAAAGATACCACAGAAACTTCCACCATTTGGCACAGAGCGTAGGTCGTTTCTATTGAAAAATATCGGAAATACATCACCGGATCAAAATAGTATGCACATAAAAGAGTGTAGAGCTAAAGCAAATGACTTAAGAATGTAATTGTTACTCCATACATTCCACCACTTGATTCGTAGATGAATCCCCTGCTAATAAAGCTCCCGAAAATTGTTTTCCCCAGGTCGACCAAATCAAAAATTCAAACGAGAGCAAAAGCAGAACAAAGAATCAATGCAGTTGTGCTCCCATAGTTACTCCACCGAAAAAAAGAGTTTTCTTTCTCCACATCAGAACCAAACTTGGAGCTCAAGTTACAAAAGCACTAGGCCGAGCTCCATTGGCTTCAATGCATTTCTTAACCGATAATTGTAGAGATAGTAGTGCAGTTTCCCATCACCTGGCCCGAATTTTAGTTCCTTTAAAAAGGTTTCATTTTGCATGACATCCAAGGCATTGAACACATCGTAGTCCTTTTGCTTGGCCACAATAAGAGCATCATTCATCAGCTGAAGCAAAGGAGTCTTTGTGGCAACATTATAGAAAGAGTAAGCTGTCTTGAGAATTGAGTAGTTCTGATTGCCCAGAATAGACGAAGGAAGACTATAGAAGCTGCAGAAATCAGTGACCTTATGAGATTCAGCGCTTTCCACCACATAACTGTCAACAACATTCTCAGTAGGAAGAAGCCAATGCTCCACGTCATTTTCGTCCAAGTTGGGGGCAACTTCAAATTGGTTCAAGTAGTTCCTGAGGAGCCGTGTGACCGCGGGAACATCATGAAGCTCCATCTTTCTGAACCCTGGGGTGGATGTTGAATCTGGTAACTTGTACAGCTTGATCATTCGACTCATTGTCATCCTTGCACCAGGTCTAGAAAACCCAACATCAATCAGCTTCTTTGGGTTCAAAGATATGCCAGTATTGGCAGGTCGACATTGGCGTTGGAAGGACCACTCCGGCAGTATAAGCAGCTTGCCAGATGTTTTCAAGGTGAACCCTCCGGGTGACCTCTTTGATCATGACAGGAGCAAGTCTTTTAGATCTGAGCTTCTTATGAACACACAAGAAATTGATCTCGGCCATGGTGACAACATTGTCATGGACACGAATTCTCGCAGAGACGCCGGTAATTAAAGCAACCAATTTTTTCGAGCTCCTGACACGAACGCCAATGTGCCAGCTCTTGTAGTAACCAGGAGGGTGCAGCGCCCAGCGAAGAAACTCCTTCGAATAATTGAACCGGAACATATTCTCATCGTCCTCAATGTAGTTATGGGTTAGAAGATTATAAACCTCAGCGCACATCTCTTCTGAATCAATATCGAAAGTGATCCATTCATAAAGATTGGGGAGGTTGTAGGGTTCTTGCTTCACTTCAAATAACGGGGTAGGTGGTTCTATGGGGCCCTCGGGATCTCCGATATCCTTGAATTGCCCAACAGGTTGGGTTTCCCAAAACTTGTGCCTCTTCTCAAGCAAGAGAGACTCCTGAACCTTCTTGGCGAGTGTCTCGAGTGCAAGGTCGTTCTCCGAAGGAGCATTCCCATCAGGGTTGGGGTTCGGAGCCTCTTCAGGCGAATCAGAGGACGGATTGCTATCGACCATCTTAATCAACTCACGAGTGCTGTGTGAGGGAAAAGAGCCTTTTCAATCAGCTAAGAAACTTGCGTGCTTTTTTCACACTGTTCAGCAAAATGCAAGCAACGTGAAGACAAGTCAAGTTCTTGGGTTAAACTAAAGAACCTATCCCCTCCTTAATCTATACCCATTTCTTTAACCTCCAGATGATGCATCGGAATTTCTCATGCCATCAACCTGAAAACGCAGATGGTGCAAACAAGATTATAAAGAAACGCAAACCCAAACCCACCACCTCCAAACTACTCCCAAAGAACCCGATTGAAGCATCGAAAAATTTCGACCCCGAACACACGGTTCGACCCAAAAAGGCCAAAGACGAAAGGAGCCCGCGATGAACCGACGTCAAAGAATCACATGCAGAGGCAACCGACGCACGGAAGATGCAAATGAACGACGCACACGGGCCAGCAAGAACCGAGTGCTGATGGTGTACTAAAGGACAGGCAAAAGGGCGAGGGCGTTCGAAGAAGAAACCTTGCTTGTGGGTGGGGTGCGATGAATGCGAGCGAGAGCGAGAGAATTCGAGGAGCGAGAGCGAGAAAGAGCGCAGCAGATTCGCGGGCTGAACAGAGAGAGTCTTTCCGATGACTCCAGCGTTTCTTGATGAAAGTTGGACCTTCGCGCAGAGAGAGAGAGAGAGAGAGAGAGAGAGAGTCTTGAAATTTTTCGTCTTTTTTCATGTTGTTATTCCGTTTTGGGCCGCCCTACGGGCCTCGGCCCACCGCTTATCGGGTGGGCGTGGCCTCGAGACTTTTTCTAACTTAAAAAGATTGGAAAAAAATTACATTATAAATTCAAATTTAATGAAATTTCTTTTTACTTGCCTTGGTTGTACTTATACTGTGAATGCACTTTTATTTGATTTGCGTATTCACGAGAAATTGTTACGTGAATGTAGAATACTTATTAAGCCGAATCTGGCTACTGAAAATGTATATGACGGTCCGGATTCAGTTTAATGGATGTACTGCGTTCGCGGAATAATATTTCGTGTTTCACTAGAGCAACTGTGATTTGAAGATCCATCCGGAACGGTTATTTGTACTATTACGACGTAGATCGAAATCACCATTATCTTGTGTATGTGTTTGGAAAGGTGATTTTACCCACCTCGTCGGATATTCGTATTATTCTAGTTTACCTGGGACAGATAAAACCCACAATCAACAGGTTTTGTGTTGGAGACAGAGCGAATTTTCCTGAGGGGAGGGGATGGATACGGTCGGCCTTGCGCCACGATCTCGTCCGACCCTTTCTCGCGATCATATGTTTAAAGTTTTTAGTTTGTATGCAATAAATTATCCCTTTTCCTCGTCAATTTATGATGGAAATTTTCCAAACTAAACATTATGCCAATAGATTCAAGAATTCCCAACTCATATTGCTCCTAAATGATTCACCCAACTTGCAAAATCTTTCAAGGGATTATCACACAAATTAGATCATCTTTGTTGGATAATGTATTCAAGATTTCTAAACAATTGATGGTATTGCGGGGCTGGAAAGTTTGCATACCCACAAGGTTGCATGGTTTTCTCCCTCTTCAATTCAGTAGAAAGATCCATCATGCTCACAAAAACAATCAGCCTTACATCTGTCTTTGTGCCTAGTTTTTATAAACTTACTTAGGCTATACGTAGCAAATTTTTGTGGAGTCCTGGTTGTTCTAGGATCGATACATTTGCATTTGCACAGAGAATATGAAATTAATGTGGGTGACATCTTTTCATTTCAGTATCTATGGAAGTCCTAGATCGGTTTCGCGAAACCCGACTCCACCTCGTCGTTCGTGCAAGGCCGATGTAAACCGTAATCCCACATCGCTAAAGTGCGCGACCGTAATGCGCCTTATATACGCTTGGTCTCCTTCCGTCTAATAACTTACTAATTAAAAATAAAGTGGGGAACTAATTAAATGCATAATTAAACGTTATAGATTTTCTTCAATCTCCCTTATAAGTAAATCAATAATTCAAGTTGCATGCGTTAGTACCCGTGGCATTCCAAAAGATGGGTGTTGCTTTTCTTCTTGCCTTATTGGACAAGATGATGAAATAATGTCAAGCCTGCTGTGTTCTGTGCTATTGCCTTCTTCTTTTGTTAGGCTCCACTTCTTTGGTATGTCGAGCTTAAATCAGCAATTGCTTTCAATTCATTTGGCTCTGTCACTGCTATAAAGCCAGGCAACTCCTGTACCTCTCGTTGTGTGTCAATATAGTCTCGGTCCAAAACCAGGCATGTCTCCCCGGCCTGATGAGGCGGCCGCAGAAGCAGCTAATTCGATCGGATCGAGGTTTCAAGATGCCGATCTAGTACCTGCCGGTGTCAAAGTGTTGGTCATCGATGGAGATTCCGCGACTCTGGCCATTACTTCGAGGATGCTTCTTATGTTCGGATACAAAGGTTCTTGTTGGAAGATAGAGATATGCTTGTCCTTTCTCTCTCTCTTTCTCTTGTTTCAGTACTCTTTTAACGGCAATATGGCATGTTCTTAATGGCATGTGCTTCTTGAGGATGAAAGATCTAGTCAGTTTATTTTGTGTGTTCTTTTCACTTCCCATGGCGACGAGTTTTCTTTCTTCCCCGTTTTTTATCGTCTCGTTCGCTTCCAGTTTTGACTGCCAAAAGCACTGGCGACGCGTTATCCATCATCCAGGAAAGGCAGGACAACCTTGATCTCATCCTAACCGAACTTCACCTGCCCGACGCGGACAAGTTCGAGGTTATAGAGAAACTAGGAAGAGCGTCCAATTTGCCGGTTATTAGTAAGTGTACTTTCTAACCCCCTAAAATTGCTAGCTACATTCATGTGTAAAGATCGTTGCTGATTACTCTTTTGTTTGTTCGGGTGTAGTCATGACAGCCGATAATAACGAGGGCACAATGTTAGGCGCGCTTCTACACGGGGCTTCGCTTTATCTCCTGAAACCGATCAGCAAGTTTGACATCAGAGACCTTTGGCAATTTTCGTTCATGAGGAAAAGAGATCAAATGGCACAGGTCACAGGGGACAGTACCGATCAGGACTCGTCCGAGAAGGGGGGCGATGATGAGCCGGAGAGCCAGCTACCTTCGATCAGTGACAAGCGGGGTGAAGCGAGGCCGAGAAACCAGGAATTCAAAGAAGTGGATGGAGACAAAGAGGGCGACTCGCGGCTCCCCAAGAAGACTAAGTTAACTTGGACTAATGAGCTACACGAAAAATTCGTGCGAGCGATCCACGTTATAGGCATCGACAGTAAGGACTAAAGAGTCCCGCCGGATCTACCATCTAATTTAGTGTCATCTATCTTTCTGTTGCAGACACGATGCTTCCTCTTTACTCAACGGTAACCAAGGGCCTTTGATCCATTTCTTGTTCGCAGGAGCTCTGCCAAAGAAAATTCTTGAGCACATGAACGTCCCTGGTCTCAGGAAACAGAGCGTCTCAAGCCACTTACAGGTTACTACGTAGTTCAGACATTCGCGTCGCACGACCCTGACATATGAGGATCGTAATGTTAAAAACCGTTTTTTAAATATCCGACTTCATATCGCGCTCGTTACTTGATGACGTGATGTGTGACAATGCCGCCGCTTTTTGGTTGCCGGGAGCTTTTGAAATAGTTTCATGAGCATTAAATGAATTAGAGATTCACCTGCAGACTTGATGAATTTGATCACAGTCATTTGAATGCGCGGGATTATTCTTCTGCAGAAATACCGCCTTTCTGTGAAACGAGATCAAGATACCATCCTGAAGACGCTGAATCCCGAATCACCTCGCTTGTCATCCACAATGCATCCGCAAGGACTCCTTTCATTTTCAGAGTCGCATCTCCTAGCACCGGCGACAACTCGAGACTCTCGTCTCCCGAGCTTTTTTCAGCCAAATCCCGACATTTCCCCTGCGATGGTGTATGACCGAAATCGAGAACCAAGGAACTATAGCAATCAGACGTTAAATCCCATCGCCAACCCCTTATTCATGCCGAGCGACCAGCTATCTCGCAGCTCCTTTCGCACTGGAACCGAGATCAAAGGAAAAGAAGTCGTCGACGCGGCAAACGTCCAGTCCTCCGGGAATGACTCTTGTTTGATTGCGGAAACGCAGTCGTCAAGGACAGGAGATCCAACCAGCACCGAGAGTGGCAGCGCCGGCGCTGGCGCCGGAGCTTGAGGGACATGATGTTTGTCGCGGCGAAAGAAGATGATCGCCTCTCTTTCCAGGAGGAAGTGGCCGATACATGTAGATGATATCTGGCTGCGCTCTGTCACTGCTGCTATATGTTTCCATCAAGATAGGTTATCTACAATAACAAAATTTCCCAATTTAATGCCTCCTCCATAGGTTTTTGTCCGGTTTCCTTTGAAAATTTGTGGGATTTCTATTAACTACATCTCTGTTATAAAACATTTTTCACACTTACAGTCGCGAAAGAACAAAATTCGTCGTTTTCGTTGAATGAGCACGATCGTCGAAAATTAAATCTCGAATACATAATCTACACAACTTAAAAAGTGTCGATGAATTCTATTTGAGCCATGGCAATCCAAGTTAACTCGAAATTCAAAATCACACGATCGTCTTGTGACTAACCAAAACTAAAATAAGTAAACAAAATCGAGTATATTAGATACGTACCCACTGATGAAAAAAGTGAGATATTGACAAAAATATGCAGTGTGGTCCCTGAGCTTTTAATTTGTTAAATGTGATTCATGAACTTTAACTTAATGTGCAATATGATTCTTAAACTTTTAGTTTGTGTGATGTGATCCATGGACTTTTAATATATGTTCAATATAGTCTGTAAACTATATGAAAACGTTTTATATAGTCGTTCCATTAATTCAAGTTCAGAGATACTATTGAACATTTTCATATAATCTAGGGACTAAAATGAATATGTACGAAAAATTCAAGAACCGCATTAAATAAATTAAAAATTCGGGATTCACGTTGCACATTGAACTAAAGTTCAGGAATTACGTTAAACAAATTAAAAGTTCATGGATCACGTTACATATCGGACCAAAGTTCTAGAATCATTTGTGTGAGTTTCCAAAAAAAAAAAAATTTTTTACCCGCTGCTTGTTTCTTTTCGACAACCCCATTTTTTCATGATGCTAAAGTCAACTTTCAAATTTTTTCACTTGTTTGGGAATACTTTTGAAATCTCGTTTAAATAAGTTAATTTACAAGCGTGGCCGCTAAACGAGATATCTGCACGATTTTTATTACAAGCACCACAAAGGGCGCCTGTAATTTTACATCGTACAACGACCAGAGTCATTTCGTCGAACACTTGAAGCGCAATGGCCGCGACACCCACAGCCGTTGCGCACCTTCTTCCCTTTCAGCCATCCCTGCCACACCCTTCGTCTTCTTCGCCGCGGGACAGGACCGGAGCTGGGCATCGAAGGGAAGCGTCGTACATAGCTTGCGCCAAGGGGATTCGCGGAAGCCCCGACGACTACCACGCGACGCTCAAAGCTCTCAACTCCAAAGGTCGCACCCCGAGAAGATCCCTCGGCCAGGTGCGACGCGTTTCGAATCTTCTGGGTCTTTCGCTCTTCTTTTCATTAGGAGAATGTAGCTTTCACCACCTGGTGGGATGCGCGCTGCCTATGCCTCCATTTCGAAGCAGGAGTAAAGTATTTTGATCAACATAAGATGGGGGTGTGTTGGAAGCTAAGCGATTCATTCGAAACATGAAATTACGTATCTTTCTTCTAGATGGATTCTACTTGTACCACCATCCGGCAAATGGGTTTATGATAATAGTGTGAAATCTGTAGTTGTCTCAGTAATGGAGTTGGAGTTGTGACCGGTGGCTATATCTGGTTGCTCTATGTGTTGAGCAGTTCATTATCATGCGCGAGTGGCGTCTAATTGTCGCCTTAGATATACCCGAAATTTTTTTTTATGTGTTGACTTATGTTGCTTGTTGTTTTTTCAGCATTACATGTTGAACAATGACATCAATGAGCAGCTCGCGAATGCTGCCGGTGTTAAAGAAGGAGATGTGGTGCTGGAAATTGGTCCCGGAACTGGTTCGCTTACTAATGTTCTTATTGGTGCTGGTGCCACCGTTCTTGCAATTGAAAAGGTCATTGAACTGAGTAGTTGATGCTCTTACTGTAGTCATCCTAGTTCTACCTCGAATTAATTTTTCCTTTTGTTTTATTGTGATAAATTTGTCGCCCATAGCTATTTAAGTAGGCAAGCAAGTGCTTAATCTATTTTTCTTCTAGCGATCCAAGCAGACAACAGAATCACGTTTGTTGTGGTTCTGAGACTAGGTACCAGACATTGTGTCTTGGTTTCTTCCGAGCTTTTAACAGTTGTTTTGTGAACTTCCCACTCATCCATTGCCTGACTTTACTCAATCCATTGAATTGTTAAATACTTATCAGCAGTCTCTTCCATTTGATTTCAAGTATATCAACTGAGGCGGTTGCTTTGTTGCATTCTGTCAAGTAGACGTGGCTTCATTAACCTTTCTATGTTGCTGCTGCAAAATACTGAATCACCAATCAAAAAGCAACGTCGCACAGGAGGCCTTGCAAGCAAGCATATTCTTATTATCTGTTCTGGTTACAAGCATGATAAATATTCTTCTTACCCTACTTACAGTTTTTGTGTAGTCATGTTTTTGTCTTTGTTATGGAATTTTAGGACCCACATATGGCTTCTATTGTGACTGAAAGATTTGCAGAGACAAACCAGCTAAAGGTAAGGTATTCTGTTTAGAGAGAGTTGACTGTTCTTCATATAGATTGATATAGTATCCATGGGGCAATTACATAGAAAAGCATTTTATGCCCCAGCTCTTCCTCTTCTGATTAGTCCCTTGATTTTTCCGTGTATTATGTATAATCTTGATTGTATGTTTCTTGCTTCTATCTCGGTTTATGATGCTAATGTTGTTTGTCAAACATTTTATCTGTTCTAAGTTATTTACATTATCCTCGTGCAACTATGGTTCTGAGAAATCTTACATACTCACTCTTCCCATGCGCCTATCTGTATGTACATGCATAGAGAGTGTACAGTTATATGATATTTATGCTACTTATGTCCATTTTCCTTTAAATAAGTGAATCTTTATGATAAAAGGAATTATGTCACTCATTATTATTCATTGTTTTCTCTATGTTTGTGTATATATCTGTGCTTACCTAGCCATAGGAGACTTAGGAATAAATTATGACTTGAAATAACCAAATCCAAAACATGTAGGTCTTGCGAGAAGATTTTGTCAGATGTCACATTCATTCCCACATTTCGTCATTTTTGGCTAGCATAGAGTCAGACATGAAACCAAGATATGCAAAAGTAAGTCTTCTGACCCTTGTAGTTTCTGATGCTTGAATGTTGAACTCTCCTCTAAGTCTATATTTTCTGATTTGGCTGATCTGGCCTACGGTTTCACAATTGTGGTTAAAAAGCTTATTTTGAAATAAGAAGATCATTCACTGACTCTTCATGCTTAGGTTTATTGTTACAGACTTTCACTGAAGGGCGCTTTAGAGCCTTAGTGGAAGCACACACCACATGTTAGATACCTAAATTTTGCAGTACATATCAGAATTTCCTGAAGTTCTTGCTCGTGTTCCCATCCCATGGTAATACCTTTGTCATATTAGTCTCCTTTTTGCAGGTTGTCTCCAATATACCCTTTAACATAAGCACAGATGTCGTCAAGCAGATTCTTCCTATGGGTGACATTTTTTCTGAAGTTGTTCTCCTACTTCAGGTTATTGCGAAAAGATTGCTTGTATAACTTGTGATGGTTCTGTAGTTGTGGCATTCGATTAAATTGCAGTATATATCAGCTAAAACTAGTATTGTTTGCCGTTATCTCTCTTATATATGTTATTTTTTCGTTCACTGATTTCTAGCATTTCCTCTGGTCACCTCATGATCAATATATGTCCTTCGACCTTAATCATGAGCATGCACAGTCTAATCACATTTGTCGTATCCTGTGTTAAAAGCAAAATATGTCTTTAATTTTATGTACTCGGTCCGGTTCATCACCTGACCCGACATATTTTTTGTGCGACCCAAAAGTGAAAAAAAATTGAGATTTAGTTTGTGATGCGGAGGGTTGGGCCGATAGGCCCAACCCGAAGCAAGCGAACAAATCTCTATGGTGGTTCGCCCAAGCTGGAGCAAGCGAACAAATGTCTCGGGGGGTTCGGGGGCTACGCCCCTGAGGAAATTTTTGGGGAGCCCTATTTATACTGCGGCTAGGTTTTTTCCTTGATTAAGAGAGATTTTTGTTTTGGGAGATATCAGTGAGCCGTGAGGTTTTGTTAAGTCGTTTTCCGACTTCTGAAAACTGTAATCTCTTTGATTATAGTGGAATCTTGTTTTGCCTCGCCCGTGGACGTAGATCACCTTGTGATCGAATCACGTAAATCCTTGTGTTCTGAATTTGTTTTTCCGCATTTGTTTTGAACAAAATATAAGTGAAAAGGATAATGAGGTTAAGATGCAGGGTGCCCTTCTATTGTTATAAGAGAAGTATAAAAATTGAAGTCCAAACAATTGGCTGCAACGAACCTTAATGGAGCTCGAATTGCAATACCAAATATATTGAGAAAGCTTTCCAGAAGGTTAAGACTGCAATGCACATTGAAATGGTTCCATTTTATCGATCATTAAATCTATAGGTGATCTAATTAGTTATTAATGTTGAATTTTTATTTGCTATTTAGGAGGAGACAGCTGTCAGGCTGGTGGCTTCAGCTCTACGAACATCTGAATACCGACCCATTAATATCTTTGTCAATTTTTATTCAGGTATACCGTTTATCTGATTGGATTCCTTCTCTGTGGTTGCCCTGGCTTTCTTCCATCGTTCACTGATTAGGAATTATTTGGCACAGTATATCATGAGGAAACATTTTTTAATGAAGCTTTAATTCTGTTGATCCAATAAATATCAAGACCTCGCTTCAATTGGTTAATGTTGATAAAAATCAGTTAACACCAGTTTGTAATACGTGGAAAGCATTTTGGCTAGCACCTTACTTTTCTAGGCTGTCTTAAGTTCTTTCACAGCACATATAATTTTGTGGACACTTATGTTCTTTCTGTCCGTGATGTTACATTTCAGTTCCTGAATACAAATTTAACGTTCCAAGGACAAACTTCTTTCCTCAGCCTAACGTGAGTACCCTTCTCCTTGCAAAGGCAGATGTTACATTTCAATTCTTCATGTGTAACTTTTGCTCAAATGCACACCCCATTATAGGCTTGTAAGTTACCATTGCCTATCTCACAGCTAGAAGAGCTGTAGAGCTTCTTCATTTTCTCTTATATAAGATCTCGATTGGTTATATAAGAGAACAGATGCTAGAGCTAGTTTTGTGAGTTGTTTATTAGGTTTGAAAGATAGCCGTCATCTATAATTATGTTCTGAAGTTAACTCAACAGTAGAGCGCATCAGTATCTCTTTGTCGATTCACTTCACTTACAAAAGGATCGGCTTGAGACCTAAGTAATGCTTGTGTTAATGTTGTTCTATCCAAAGCGGTGTCTAAAAATGTTGTTATTGATTGACTATGAGCTTTCAACGGGTCATGCGTTATGTTTCTATCCATTGATTTGTGAACAGGTTACTCAAATCAAAGCAGTTCAAATAGGTTCCCAAGAATGGAAGTTCCTTGATTTGTATTATTCGGAATTAATTTAGGTGTAGGGCGGCCAACGTTACCCATCGTCCATCATCCTGATTGATTATGATGCCTCTATGTGTTATGTCCTATGCGTAGTAATTAGACTGGCCGCTTAAATTCGGCTTGACTTGCCTACAGGTCGATGCAGCAGTGGTGACGTTTAGATTGAAAAAAGCTGCTGACTATCCACCAGTTTCCTCCATTCGGAGTTTCTTCTCAATGGTAATTGCTATCGAGTAGATTAAGCAATAGCTTATGGATTATAAGTACGTAGCATCAGTCTTATGCGTCTTCAGAGGAGCTTTGCGAAGGCACATGTTAATTATTTCAGTAGATCGATCCTTTCTTCCTCTGTGGCCCTTCCTATTGTATGATGAGAATAAATCACGGTTCCTTTTCTTGTTTGTGATACTGTTGCCTGCTCTTTTGGCTAAACAATTCTAGTGGATAATGCAGGTGAACTCAGCATTCAACGGGAAGCGTAAGATGCTGCGGAAGTCTCTCCAGCATCTGTGCACAGCCGTTGAGATTGAAAAGGCTCTCGAAGAAGTTGGTCTTCCAGCAACAGTAAGTTTTATTGAATGACGTGAATGATTGGATATTCTCCCTATCTTTGCGAATCAATTACTGGGAACTCTCTTTATCTCTTGTGCATCCAGTCGAATGGTTGATTCCGCTTGCGAATGCTGTTTGATATTCCATGCAGTCAAGACCAGGGGAGCTTACACTGGATGATTTCGTGAAGTTGCATAACTTAATGGTGAAAGACTAGTACATCCAAGAATCTCCTCGAACGGGGCAGAGAGAAGTAGCTCATTACGTGCTTGAGCAATGGAGATGGAAACTTATAGAAAAATCTCAATCATATCCACGGGCATCATAGATGTTTTCAGTTGGGAATTCCTGCTTACGAGTTGCATCAGATAGAAAGACAGAAGTGAACTCCCACAATTGCACCGGTGCTGCGAAAATGTCCACGCTAGAGGTTGTCTGAATCATGAATTCATGATATAGGGCCATCAACCATGTATATGCCTCGTGAATGAAATTTGTGTACAGTTGTCTGTACAGAAAGTACATTACTTTGAGATTTTGTGAAAAGAAAAGGATCTTAGCAAAGAAATGAGTTCAGGAAATTGCTTCTTGTGCTTCACCTTCTCGTGTTTTCAATTCTTACGGTTCCACATACAACAATTATACTAAACAACATATGGCAGACAAAGGCGGCAAACATTTCCTAGAGTTTGTTTGAACTCTTAAAATTTCCAGTGATGCCGAGTTCGGTGACGCGAGCTCATAAGAAGCAAATGGGGCATCCAAGTGATTAAATGAAGATTAGGCCACCCACCATGGTTGGTCTTGCAATCTTACGTTTTCTTCTTCACACTGTTTTGCCAGTAACATTTCACAATCACCACAACTCAACTCAGTCCACACAGATTCACAACATCAGAAAATGAAAAACCAGTATCAAAACTGGCAAGAGACTGCTGTAAAATTTCTGTTTTTCCATTTTTCAAATGATACACATGAAAGTCGTGATGGATTCACAAAAAACCGCATGAACCTCATCAATTTTAACTCTCTCATCCATGAAACTGGTACACGAGATCCAGAGCCCTCAATCTAGTGCCGTGGGGATCGTAACCCGGAAACCCATCGCCCCCGCCAGCCCGCCCCTCCTCGGCGGCCACGGCGGAAGACGGCGAGAGCGGCCGCTTGGGCCTCTTGTTCTTGATGAAGCAGTTCCTCATCCTCTCCTCCACCCGGTCGATCGTGGCCTTGGAATTCTCCTCGGCCTCGCCGCCGCCGTCGTCGTCCCCCACTTGCATTGGCTCGGCGGCGCCGGTGGCGGAAGAGAAGGAGTTCTCGGCGGCGGAGGCGGGAGGGGCGGGTGGGGGAGGGGGAGGCGAGGGGAGGAGGTGGGCGGAGGAGGAGAGGAAGGAGGAGAGGAGGAGCTGGGACTGGTGGAGGGAGGAGTGGATGTGGAGGAGGTGGGCGGGGTCGGCGGCGGAGGCGAGTTGCTTGGCCATGAAGGTGGCTTGCTCTAGGGATTGTATCAGCTCCGCCACTGACACTGCTGCTGCTTCTTCTTCTTCTCCCATGTTCATGTTGTAGTCCATCCTCTGTATCTCTCTAACGGAGTCGTATGAAGATTGTTGGGGTTTTCTGTTGTGTCGGAAGCGGTGCTTTTATTTGGTCCATCAGAACGTCTAAAACATCCCTCAATTGATTTCTTCCCCTTTTTTTTTGAACTATTTGAAATAAGAATTTTGTTCACAAGCATTTTAAAAATATTTTGTTATACACCCAATTAAAAAATTATAATTTTGAATGCACTGTCTCTCTTATGTTAAGGCATAAAAGCTGCATTGCAAGTTGAGACTGTGCTTAGATCGTTGGAGCTCCAAATCAATCGTACAAAGAAACTGTTTAGAAAGAAGTCTTGGGAGAGAATGCTTTCTATTATTTAATTATTTGGATGGATACGATTTTGCGGAGAGTAACCTATTTATACAAGGACTCCTCTCGTTACGACCGTTGAGGGGCATTTGATTCGGCCGTGGAGATTACATATTCCCATCTCCCAACTACCGGCATTTATGCCGAGAATTCTCTAGAACTAGGTATATTTACCGTATCATCCATCCCTAAGAATGTTCCGGAAGCTCGAAGGGATTTGTATCGGTCTTCTTTGATCATGCATGATCCTTGATGCATGGAAATCTCGGAACCGTGACACAAGTCTGAAATATTTTGTTATCAAACTTACTTCAAAAGTACCCTAGAAATACTCGTTGACAAGATTTGTTTAAGCATACTTAATAGTGCTCTAGCTCCCCATGTTCGTCAAGCGGGTGCTTCTTCGATCTTGAAGGAACCTACTCTTCGAAAACGTGAGGAGAGGATGAGAGATTTGCTTCATGGAGAGGATCATATCCAATCCTTTTCTCGGGCTTCCAGTCACCAAGTCGAGTGCTTGGTGTGGTTATAAGTAGGGGTGTCAGAACCGAACCGAAAAACCGAATCGAGATACGAACCGAACCGAACCGAAAATTTTGTGCATTTCGGTTCGGTTCGGTTTTTGGTTCGGATACACAAAAGAAACCGTTATTTTTCTTTCAGTTCGGTTTATTTTGGTTTGGTTCGGATCAAACCGAAACCGAACTGAAAATAACCTACGGTTTTTACCCTAAAGCTAAAAGGGCTAAAACCACAAAGGGCTAAATCCTCTCTCTCGCTCCCTCGGCACTACTCAGCTCAGCCCCTCTCTCCGCCGTGCTGGCACCTAATCGCTGTGGCCGTGCGGCATTCTGCAATGGCGGCCACACGGCGAAGAGCCGGCGAAGATCTAGCAAAAGTGGCGCTCGAACAAGCGAGATTCTGCAGTTCCAGTGATCGACAAGGAGAACTCAGACGAAATGGCTCGGATTCAAGGCGGATGCCACGTGGGTTCACGAGCGCAGTTGGGAAAAGTTGTTGTTCTGGTCGATCCGTGCTCATATCTTACCTCGTTCGCATCGGAGTGTGCGTGCATCGGTTTCGATTTTGGCGACGACTACCACAGCGAATCTCGGACACCCATATGAAAAAATAGAGCACCCTAAAAACAGAAATACCCAATAAGATTTATCCTAGAACCAGCACGAGAAAGCAAGGGCAGGCAAAGGCCGGTGGAGGGATCAAGTGACGGAGAGACCCATCTTGAGAAGAATCAAGATTTGCCAAGCGCGAGAGCGTGCGAGCATGGGGAGACAGATGATGAAGAGGAGGAAACAGAGGAAGTGGTGGTGGTGCCTCTTCGGCTTCCCTTTTCTTGCTTTGCTTTCTCGCTTGCGTCACTAGGGGTACCGAAGAAAAAAGAAAAAAGAAAAAAGAGGAGGGGGCTGTGAGAGAGAGAAGTGGGCGAAAGCAACTGGGTCTGAATGCCCTCCTCCGCCTCTCCACACTTTCAGAAAAAATAATAGAAAACCGAAAATTGAACCGAACCGAACCAAACCAATTTTTTGGTTCGGTTCATATTCGGTTCGAGCAAAATTCGGTTCGGTTCAAGGTTGTACCCTTAACGGTTCGGTTCGGTTCGGTTTTTCAAAAAAACCGAACCGAACCGAACCATTTACACCCCTAGTTATAAGTGTGCTCTTCACGATGAAAATGGAAATTTTTTTTTTTTTTATGTTCTATCTCTCATACGATATAACTATTTATTTGAAACATTCACTTCTATTGAATCATAGCCGTCGGGTTATGTCTTGTGCCGTTATGCAATCAGTAATATCATTCATATAATTTGGGAGCCGAAAGAAATTGAAAGTTACAGCTTATGAATATTAGAAGAGAGAAGGAACTTCAATTTGCATCACTACACCAGCCTCGAGTTTGACTTCTCATAAGGGAGAGCACATGTAAACTAATTTATATCTACCCAAAAAACAAATTATTTCTCCCAATTATTTTTAGGTGGCTCAAATGGTAGAAGCAAATAAATTCTCGGAAAGCTCTAAAATCCATACAAAGAACTAAAACAATCCAGTGAGATGAATGCATTCCAAGTGAAATTTATGGGAAAACAATGTCAACGGATACAAGATCCCTCTTAGAACTCCCATGATAGACATAACCAATCACTTTGTAAGTCAGAGAACACAAAAAAGAGTGGCCATTAAGAGATATCCAGCAGCAATGCAGCTGCTCGAGAGCAAAACATCCATCATTCTTCGCCACCACGGATGACAGATTCCATTTCAAAGTTGAACTCAAACCACAAACTCAAACTCGTCACTCAGATGAATCATAGGGACATCATAAGAATACCGACGGAGCAACCGGATCATGAGTCGGAAGAACACTCCTCCAGTGCGGTCCGGACAGGAACGTGGATGTCCTTGTACAAACACACATAGGGCGCGTCGCAGCCGACGTAAGGCCCTGTCCAACTTGCATTATCGATGTAGCTCGCGTCCCAAATAGATGCATACAGGAACATTGGCTTATCCGGGAAATTCTCCCCCTCCTTTCTCTCAACTCTCCTCACCAACTTTCCGTCAATAACCCACTCAATATACTCTTTATCCCACTTGATCGCGTATTCGTGAAACCCATCAGAACAGTCAAATCCCAGATCATGTATCTCCTCCCTGTTGCCAGTACCTGTGTCATGGATCTCAAATTGCATCAACAATTCTTGACTTGACTGACTTCAGATAAATGATGAACTTTAGAGGCAGATACAGGAAGAGTAGACACTCTTAGTGCAGATCAATAGTCAGTAGACATAAGCATGACTTACTAGATATGCACAAGCATTTACTAATCTAGCTCCGGTGCAGACGTATATTAACCGCTTGAACAATATACATTCATTCCCATGTTACAGGATATTAGCAGTGCCTACAAATTTGCAAATCATGCTTATGTATCAAGTTTGGCTGTATGAGATGACCCGAGAATCTAACTCTGTTAAGTACAGATCCGACTTTGCAGAGCCGTGTACCTATTCTTTAGTATAATCAGGATGAAACTTCTCTGAAACATCGTACAGATAGCTAACATATCTTTTAGCAAACTCCGTTCAGCATCGATCGATTAGATTATTTTCAACATCTAAATGGATGATTCTTCCCTGTTTTTTCGAATGCAAGCTCAAAATTTTCAGTATTCGCGACGTGCACTTTCAACTTCTTTAACCCAAAAGCATGTCCAAATGCTTCGAGCCACCATGAATTGACAAATTGATCCAAGAAAGGAAAGTCGTGCTCACGTCAAAATGTGAACTTTCTCCACACCTATCCCCCTGAATGAGCAAGTAACGAATCCATTGCCAACCCTATCAGCACAAGCTCTGAATCCACAACCAGAAATATGGGAAATCGAAGAAATGTATACCGGCATTGAACCGTCACCAATGACACTCCCACAATTCAGAAACCACACAAGTAAAACAGCTAAAAGCTTTAAACAAAGCAAAACAGAAGGAAAGCTAAAGGTCTCTGCTTTAATGTCTCGAACCTGCGGTGAAATAATTGGTCTGAACAATGGTCATATCCTTGCCGAGGAACTCGAAGTCGATCTCGTCCTGCGACTTGTCGCCTTCGAGGGAGGAGAGGTAGAGGTTGAAGTTGAGGCCGCTGGTGTTGCCCCTGGGGCACTGGATGAGGGCGCTGAAGGTGCCGTACCGGAAGCGGGCGGTGGTGCGCCACCGGGCGCCGCCGCGGTGGTCGAAGGTGAGGGCGATGGAGTTGGAGGCGGGGCAGTGGTCGCAGGCCTCCGGGGTGTAGTCGACGGCGATCTGCTTCAGGGGCTGGGTCTCGTGGTGGAGCGATGGATCCGCCATGGGCGGTGGTTGACCTTTTCGCTTTGTCTTTTGCGGAGACTGAAAGACTGAAGAGAGAGAGAGAGAGAGAGAGAGAAAGGGGTTGAAGAAGATGGCGTTGTGATTCGCTGCCCGGAGGTGATGAAGGTTGGGATAGCGTCAAAATAGATGGATCGGGTCGGGTCGGATCGGGTTTGATTTGGATCGAAAACGATCCGATCCAGATTGACCTGATTAACCCATTTTTGATCCATTCATATGCAATATAAATTTAGTGGCACATACCCGATCATAATTAACTCAGCTTAAACTCTTCGTGTGCATTTTTTTTTTGTCGAAATGTGTATACGATATTTGCATAAACACTATAAGATGATAAAGAATTGGCTTTTAACATTGCACAAAGTTTTAATGTTTGTGTTGATTTACAACGAAGAATAAGAGGAAGTTAGTACTTAGTAGTAAGTTTTTAATATTAGAGCAACAAATAATGCAGTGAAATTGAAATTTTAGTGAAATGTAAGATATTGAAGAAGATGATTTATGCTAATCATGAATTGTAATGATAAGAACTAAGATTAGAATATTGCATAAAATAAACTCTAATAATTAACAATGAAACTTACAAGATTGATGAAAATAAAAAAAAAAAATTATTGAAATGCATAGCCGTTTTCATTTATCGACTTATTTTTCGAGTCAAGCCGTAAATTGAAAGAAAGATTTGATCCGGGCTTCTTTTGTAAGATGCAGGGCTAGAATTGCATGTAAACGATTACCCAAGCCCGAGAAGTCCACGAGGAGTCCAAGACCATCGACTGAGAAGTTGTAGTCCGTTT